GTCTTACAGGGCTTATACTGAGTTCAATAATATATAACTGTATTAATTCAACTGTGAACCTAGAAACTTGCACACACTGTGAAAGAGATGTACTCTTGCTCTGGAGTGTGTTACTGAATATGTTAAAGCTGTAGTGAAATGCTTCTTCTAGTCATGTAGTTATTAAAAATTTTTTTAAATGATTTAAAAAAATAAAAAAATTAAAACAGAAAAAAAAAAACCCTGAAAATAGAACTACTACATGACCCAGCTGTTCTCACTCCTGAGTATATACCCAAAGAAATCAAAATCAGCTTACAGTAGAGACTACATACCCATGTTTACTGCTGCCCTATTCACAACAGCCAAGTTACAGAATCAGCCTAGGTACCCATCAATCGACAAATGAAGAAAATGTAGGCATACAAATTGGAGTGTAACTAAGTCATTAAGAAAAACAAAATCAGGGCTGGAGGGATGGCTCAGTGGCTAAGAGCATTGGCTGGCTACTCTTGTAGAAAAACCAGGTTCAATTCCCATCACCCACATGGTAGTTAACAATTCTAAGTCCAGTTCCAGGAGGACCTGACACTTCTGACCTCTTCGGGCATTGCACAACACGGGTGAACTTACATATATGCAGGCAATACACTCACATACATAAACTAAAAATAAATTTTAAAAACCATGCTATTTGCAGGAAAATAGAACTGAAGACCATATTAAGTGAAATAAGCCAGACTCAGAAAGAGTGATATCACATATTTTTTTTATCATATGCAGAATCTACTATATTTTTTTTTAAAGGAGGTGGGACAGGCACGGTGGTTCATGCCTTTAATCCTAGTGCTTAGGAGGCAGAGGTAAGTTATCTCTGTGATTTTGAGGCTAGCCTGGCCTATATGGCAAGTTTCAGGCCAGTCAGGGCTACACAAAGACTCTGTTTTAAATTTTAAAAATAAAAATTTTAAAAGAGGGCAGTTGGGGAGATGGCTCATTGAGGAGGAGGAAGAAGGGGAGGTGGCGGAGGGACAGAGACAAGGCCATGCACTGTAGATACACATCTGTGCACAGGCAGGTAGCAGTCAGCACCAGAACTGAATGTGAGGCCTTTTATCAGGCTTCCACTTATGGTCCATGTCCCTTTCCAATTTCCTGTGTAAATCTTAAGCCTTTTATGATATTGCTTCCATTTACCAGAATTTCTTCTAAACATACTTTCTAATATGCCTGCTAATCCTTATATAAAAGACCATGTAAACTCCACACCTCCAAATTTGTAAGAGATTTCATGTAACTATACAAGGCCTGTTACATATGCTAGGCAAACTGATTATAGGTTAACACATATTCTTAGGAAGAGATGAGCCAGAAAGAAATCAGTACTCAGATGCAAACTAGATAAAACCCCCAAATAAACTAAAATCTCAAACTGAAATTATCAGTTGGAAATTTTGCAGATGTACATACGCAGTAAAGTACAAGTAGAGCTGCACAGCTCTGAATGAAGATTTCTGATGCAATTCAGTGCACAGGGGAGCTGTTTCAAGGCAGGTGAATTCTCCAAACCTGTGAATACTAAGTGTCCCCTGACCAAACTCAACAGCACCTCAGTCAGACTGCAGGCCTGGCGGGCAACACCACCACACAGAGAACAAGTCAGGGGTTCTGTCAACTTTAGTTGATTATCAATATGAAAGGACATGAAACACTTATAAATTAGTTGATATTTTACATTTAAAATATTTAAATTTGGGCCGGGTGTGGTGGCACACGCCCTTAATCCCAGCACTTGGGAGGCAGAGGCAGATGGATCTTTGTGAGTTCGAGGCCAGCCTGGTCTACATAGTGAGTTCCAGGACAGCTGGGGCTACGAGGAGACCCTGTCTCAAAAAAGACAAAAAAAAAAAAAAAATCAGAAGCTGAGACAGTATCAGTTGATATTTCCAGTCATATGAAGAACTAGGAAGTAGAACAAGGAAACCAAAACAGAGCCAGTATCATCACAATTGGCTGTGCTAGAACCACATCAATCATGTCCACTTCAATCAGACTCAGATCTGGCACCTTGCACATTTGGAGTGCATACTCACCTAAACCCTTTTGCCCAGGGTTCTTAGCGAAGGTAAAGGTAAACTGATAAAAGTCTTTAAACTTCACTGAGTCCTTAAGCTCTTGCTCCAATTTGGGAAGAAGAGCTTTCAGTTTTTCTGTGCTATCACACCTGTGACAACAGAGAATGGTTTGTTATTAGCAGATCTGCTTTTCCACCACTCCATCTTGTTTCATAGAAACCTCATCTCCCAGGTTTCCTTGCAATTTGGTGCTTCCAAGTCTCACTTATAAGTGATAGGTATAAGCAGAATCATGGTGGGTAGTTTCTCTTGCTGAAATGCTGTTGAGACACTGTGGTGATGGCTGCATAGCTATGAAAGCACTGAAGTCACCAGCTGTGGACTCTGACTGTGTCAAAAGAAGGTTTTTGCAGTGCATCTCAGTAAAGTAGTAAGTCAGAAAAAAACAAAACAAAACTGTGTGCCCTCTTTGAAAAAGGAGTGGCTTGTTCTGCAGTTTTGACCATAGTGAGGCCAAGGCCTTGAGGATGGCTCAGTGATAAGATGGAGACCCTGTTTCTTCAATGACCACAGAACCAGGCCAGCCTACTAGCTCAGGCCACTGCTACCTCTGTGCTGCTGAATGATGGAAGAAGCCTTATTAAGCATTTAGGACTTCTTCATGGTAGCAAGTTTGATTTGAAATAGCAGGTATTATAAAACCTGTATTGTTTTAAGACTAGATTTTTCTTCCAGAAGGCAATATCCTTTAAAAACAGTAATCAGCCTGGGCTGGGGTATAGTTCAGTAGTAGTTTGCCTACTAGCTAAAACAATCCCCCCAAATAAACACAACAAAACCACCATACATCCACTAAAACAAAACAAAACAAAAATCCCAAAACACTTTAGTAAAAAATATCAATTGAGGGCTGGAGAGATGGCTCAGAGGTTGCACAAGACCCAGGTTCGAATCCCAGCACCCACATGGTAACTAGTAACTGTCCAGTTCCAGGGGATCCAATGGCCTCCTCTGTCCTCCATGGGCATGGCACGACATGGGTGCACTTTACCTACATGCAGGCAATACACTCATACACATAAAATAAAAATAAATAAATAAATAAATAGTTCTTTTTAAAAAAAATTATTTATTTAATTTACTTATTTAGATCTTCCATAGCCCCAGTCTGGAACTCACTATGTAGATCAGCAGGTTAGCCTTGATCTCATAGAGATCTACCTGCATCTGCCTCCTGAGTGCTGGGATCAAAGGTGTGCACCACCATGCCTGGCATTAATTGGTCTTTAAGGCACTAAATGTGAAACAAAATCTATGTCTTTCTTTTCAACTGTACATCAAGAAACAGAATTAAGTGCTATATTCAGCTTTTCCACTAATTTAAGGTTTGCGCCAAGGTAAGAGAAAAAAAAAATCCAAACAACAGAAAACCCAAACCATAAAAAAACTGGAGAAAGCCTTGTAACAGCCAGAAAAGCCTGTGATATGGAAGAGGATAGAAGCAGTGGGGCTCCTGCTGGTGAACATGTGCACCAGGCACCACTCATATGCAGGATAGGGTGGTAGGTGCCCTGGACCACAGAGGCTGAGGACTTCCCCAATGCAGCTCCCTCTTCTCCCCATAGAGGCAGGACCTATTTCCTTGTTTTTCTGTCTCAACCACCCGAGAGCACGTCTTTAGTGCCTGTGAGCTTGATTAAATGTGATTCATGTTATTTTTGTACCTGGTCTTTTGGACCTACATCTGTGTGAGGCTCGTTCCTGTGGTATGTGCAGATCTAGCTGGGTTATCTTTGTTCTAGGGAGCTCATTTGTGTGTGTGTATGTGTGTGTACATAATTTATAGATCATGCTAATGGCAAGTGCTTTGGTTGGTTGTAGTTTCTTCATCTCAAGTAATACTGTTTGTGTTTCTACAGATATGACAATTACAAGCTCAGACAGGAGCTGCTGGTCAGCATTAGAGCACCTCTGATGTGATAATGTGAGAACCATTCACTGTAGCTCCCAGGCCATCTCACTGTTTTAAGCAAGCTGTATTTTAAAAAGTGTGTCTCTATTTCTTACAGGCTGTCAAGTTTACTGGCATAAAATTGTTTGTAATCAATTTATTAATGTCTGTAGGGTTCCACAGTGATGTCTCCCTCTTCCTTATGTTATTTGAATTTGTCTCCAAATAACAAGTTTTGCTTTTGTTGACTCTCTAGACTTTACCATTTAATTATCTGTTAATTAGCACTTAAGCAGAATTCTATAAATTTTTAGAGAGATTTTTATTTTTATGTGTATATGTAAGAGCCTGCATGTATGTATATGGATCAAGTGAGATACAAGGTTTTTTTCCTTTTTTTTTTTTTGGTCTTTTTGAGACAGGGTCTCCCTGTAGCCCCAGCTGTCCTGGAACTCACTATGTAGACCAGGCTGGCCTTGAACTCACAGAGATCTGCCTGCCTCTGCCTCTCGAGTGCTGGGACTAAAGGCATGCGCCACGCTACAAGGTTTTTATTTTTGGTCTTTTTGAGACAAGACTGCAGCTGGCCTGGATTCACTATGGAGACCAATCTGGCCTCAAACTCACAGAGAACCGCCTTCCTCTGCCTCCCTAATGCTGCAATGGCACCACCACACCTGGCAAGCTACAACTTTTTATGCCAGCATTTTCTTCATTCAAAATATTTCCCATTTCCTTTTATAACTTTTTTTCTCTCTCCAAATCAAGGATATTCAAAGGTATACAATATCCACACAAACTGTAACTTAGTTATCATTTTACTACATTCCTGTTTTTGTTGCATGGTGCTTAGAAAACATGTCTATCCTTTGTCATTTGAGGTAACTTTATACCCTGGTTGATAGCTGATTTTATAAATGTTGTTTCTTTGAAAAAAGTTATGTATGCATCAACATTATAGGCGATGTTCTAAATATACCCATGAGGTCATGGTCATCGTATTGTTATTGTCCAAATCTTTTTTTTTATACTGGGGATTAAATTTAGAACATTCCATATGCTATACAAGCACTCTATCAACTGAGCTATATCCCCAATCTTAAAAAAAAAATCTTTTTTTTCCCAAAATTTATTTGAGTATTTTTTAAGTGTACCATGTGTATGCAATGCCCATGGAGGCCAGAAGAGGGCATTGGATCCCCTGGAACTGGAATGGGGGCAGTTGCTAACCACATACCAGTACACAGAACATACCACAACCCTGTGCCCTCTGCAAGAGCAGCCAGTGCTCTTAACCACTGAGCCATCTCTCTAGTCCCCACTCTCCTCTTTTTTTTTTTTAAACTTTTTGAGACAAGTTGCCCAGACAGACCTTGATCTTGTGATCCTCCTCTGTTTCACCTTCCAGAACCCCTGAGAATACATTAGGTTGAACCACCAGACTCAGCCCAATCTTGTTTTCTCTGACTTTTCATTTGCGCATTTTACCAGTTACTGTGTGTAAGAATTCCTTGCTTTTTTAAAATCTTTTTTTGTTAGATGCTAATTTAAGTATAATGGGGCTATTCAGTAATGAATAAAAACAAGTTTTTTGCCCCTTGTCAAAAAAAAAACCTCCTTTTATTACTATGAGATCCCCTTCATTATCAAAGAATTGTCTTATACCTTTAAGCTTATTTCATTTTAACATAGCGAGGGCTGGAGAGATGGCTTGGAGGTTAAGAGTGTCTATTGCTCTTGTCAAAGACACGAGTTTGGTTTCCAGCACCCATGTCAGATGGCTCACAACAGTCTGTAACTTCAGCTCCAGAGAATCTGACACCTCTTCTTGCCTCCATGGGTACCACATTCATGCATACAAACTCACTCAAGACAAATATGCACACACATAATTAAAAATAATAAATCTCAGGTCTGGCATGGTGACATGTGCCTTTAATCCCTGCAGAGAAAGGACGATCTCTGTGAGTTTCAGACCAGTCTGGTCTACATAGGGAGTTCCAGGCCAGCCAGGACTACAGAGCAAGATTCTGTCTCAAAAAACTCAAAAACCAAACAACCCCCCCCCCCGCAAAACCCTTAAAAAAAAAAATAACCACATATTTGGTGTCAATATATGCATAATAAATAACTTTTGCCCTTTTGGAATGATCTGTGCCCTCATGTTTAAAATGGTATGCACATTTAATGTAACTGTAATTACTATTATCTTTAGATTTTAATTGTGTATTTTGTCACCTGCTTGCTGTCATACCTATTCTAATTTTTTTTGAGTCACTTTGGGTTGAATTTCTAAAATTATTTTATTTCTGTATTATTAAAAAATGACAAATTGGCTGGGCATGGTGGCGCACGCCTGTAGTCCCAGCACTTGGGAGGCAGAGGTAGGCAGATCTCTGTGAATTCAAGGCCAGCCTGGTCTACATAGTGAGTTCCAGGACAGCTGGGGCTACAGGGAGACCCTGTATCAAAAAAAAAAAAAAAAAGATAAATTATATACTTTCTATTCTTGAGAAATTATGAGCTATATTATTTATGTAGTTGGATTCCCCTGGAACTGAAGTTATAGATCGTTGTTAGCAGCCATGTGGGTGCTGGGAATAGAAAACAGGTCCTGTGCAAAAGCAGCTAGTGCTTTTAACTGTTGAGCCATCTCTCCAACCCCTTTTTAATTTTCTTAACATCTTTTGACAAGCTGCAGTTTTTAACTCTGATGAAGTCCAGTTTATCAATTTCTTCTTTTTTTGTGTGTGTATTTTTGAAGCAGGGTTTCCCTGTAGCCCCAGCTGTCCTGGAACTCACTATGTAGACCAGGCTGGCCTCGAACTCACAGAGATCTGCCTGCCTCTGCCTCTCAAGTGCTGGGACTACAGGCGTGCACCACCATGCCCAGCCAATTTCTTCTTTTATGATCTGTACTTTACAAGTCTTCTTTAAAAGTGTATTCTGTAGGCTGGGTGTGGTGGTGCACGCCTTTAATCCCAGCACTCAAGAGGCAGAGGCAGGTGGATCTTTGTGAGTTCGAGGCCAGCCTGGTCTACATAGTGAATTCCAGGCCAGCTGGGGCTACAGGGAGACCCTGTCTCAAAAAGACCAAAAAAAAAAAAAAAATTATTAGGGTTGGAGAGATGGCTCAGCAGTTAAGAGCACTAACTGCTCTTGTAGAAGACCTGGGTCGGTTCCCAGCAACCACATGATAGCTAACAACTGTCCATAACTCCAGTAACAGGGGATCCAATGCCTTCTTCTACCCTTCATGAGCACTGCATGTAGGCAAAACATACACATAAAATACAAATAAAAAATAGATTTATTAGCTTTCATGTGCATGGGGATACACATGCTGTGGTACCCATGTAGAGATCAGAGGAAACTCTGTGGAGTTGGTTGTCTCCCTGAACCTTTATGTGGGTGATGGGGATGGAACTCAGGCCACCAGGCTTACATAACATGTTAAGTGCCTTTACCCGCTGAGCCATCTCTCTGGAAATAGGTGTTTTCTATGTTGAAACAACTGGCGGTTCATCTCAGCTTCTAAAAATGCAAAGAACATGAAGAAAGCTACTGCTGAGCCATTGCCTGAATGTGCATTCTGTTTGGTTTTACACAATTGCCAAGAATGTGATAAGTATCATTAGAAAGAAAGACAGCCTTGAACATTTTATCTAAATAGATGAAGCTCATAAATATAACAGTTATCAGTGTAGTGAAAAAAACAAGCACCTACTTTTTTTTTCTTTTCCCTTGGTTGCTGTAAGTGTGGGCTTTAGGGACAAGTTTACAGGCTTTCAGCTCTTCAGCAACTCAAACCAAGCTAGTCTAAAATGCCAACACTGAAATAGAGTGTCAGAAATATCAGCACGTCAAACAAGCCGACTTTTATACCATCTCACAAAGTGTTTAATAAATTTAAAGACTAAAAAATAGTTTGTTGGATGTTTTCATTTGTTTCTGTGAATCATCTGGTAAGTGAGAAACATCTTAAATGATTAATACCAACCCTGTAGGTAAAATAGGGAAGCAAAAACCAAAATGATATTTTATTAATGCTTAATACTGGAATATAAGAAATCATGTATTTAGTATACAATAGTATGAAATAAATGAAATGGCTGAAAAAATACACCCTAGTTTTCACTGTCAATTCAAACTTGTAAGGGACTTTTTAAAGACTTTAAATAATAAAAGGGATTAATATGAATAACAGTAGTAAATAAAACCCTGAACTTGAGTTTGAAAGGAATCTAAAGGCTTATAATATACAAAGAAAATATATGTGTAAGAAATTAATATTCATAAGTTGTTGAAAGTATCTTTCCTTCTGGAAAAGTTGAAACTGCGAATAATTTACTTACCCCAGCTCTGTCATGCCATCCACAAACTCCTTTTTGCTAAATTCACATTGAGTGGCAGCCCTGAACTTCCATGCTATGACCAAAACACTAATACTGGCAGGGTCCAGGTTCAAATCGTCACAAAACTGCTGAATCCCATCAATCCCAATTTTGTTTTCATCCTGCAAGTCTGTGGTTAAAATCGGGGAAAAAAGAAATGATGCTACTGTGATAATAGGTTGTTAGAATCACACAGCTCTACTACACAGCTGTAGCAAGTTTCAGCTACACCAAGCAATGAACAACCATTTTCTACAACATATGAAGGAAATAAGGAGCAGAAAGAAGTCCTACATAGATTTCTGGATTTTAAGAAAAGAAACTGAAACTTCTTTGAGGAGATATAATTAAGCAGCCATTTTAAGATCTGGAAGTACAGCTCAGTGGAGGAATGTGTACATGGTATGGTTGAAACCCTGGGTTTGAATACCAGCCTCAATAAACTAAAAGTCAAAACTAAAATTTAATTTCCTGTTGAAAAGGAAGCTCAGAAACAGAATCCTTGCTTAGAATGCATGTGGCCTTGGGTTTGATCTCCAGCTCTGACAGAAGTAGGAATGAAAACAAGAATGAATTTCTCTGAAAAATAAAAGTTCAGGTTCATAGAATTTTACTTTGTCCAAAGTCAATGGCTACAAAAGATAAGGGATTCATAATATTTTATCCACATTTTTTTGAATTTATTTTTATTTTATATGTATGAGTGTTTTGCTTGCATATATGTAAGTGCACCCATGTGTGCAATGCCCGTGGAGGTCAGAAGAGAGCATCAGATCCTCTGGAACTGGAATTATGGATGGTTGTTAGCTGCCATGTGGGTACTGGGAACTGAACCCAGGTCCTCTGCAAGAGGAGCCAGTGCTCTTAACCACTGAACCACTTTATCCATATTTAGTTCAACAGCTTAGAAATTCCTATTCCTCACCTCACAATTCAGCAAGAACTCATAAAATCAGATTTTGTAATTTCTGACAGAGTATATATACTACAAAACATCATAATATATGTGTGAATTCCACTGGTTCAAAGGTACAAATAAAATTGTAGCTTCTTTCCTCAAATAATGATTAGATGTGATAAACTTTTCTTTCTCTTCATAGAAAATTTATCTTTGGTTATTTAAGTACTATACATTACATTATTTTTTTAATATATGATGGTAGAAATTTCTGTGATGTGTGGTATGTATGTGTGCACATGTGTGTGCAGGTGTGCATGTATGTGCATGGAAGTACAGAAACCAGAGGTCAACCTCAAATGTTTTCTCTTACTGTTCTTTATCTTATTTTGTGAGCTAGGGTCTCTCATTGAAGCTGAAGATCACCATACTGGCTACTCCCAGTACCTGGGATCCATCTGTGTCCACCCTCCCAGTGTAGGGAAATACAGGTGTGTGCCTTTACACTTGGCTTTGATGTGGGTGCTGGGGATCTGAACTCAGGTCCTCATGCTTGGGCAGCAAGTATTGAGCCAGCACTCCAGCCCTTGTGGTTGTCTTTTGAGACAGGGTCTTGTTATGTATCCCAGTTTGGCCTTGAACTTGCAGCAATCCTCTTGCCTCAGCCTCCTGAGTGTTGGGATTACAGGTATATATGTCACTGTGTCCAGCAGCAAAGAAAAACTGATTATACAAATGAAATGAATGAAACTGTAAACATCCTTCTAAATATATCCTCCTACATGACTTATAGAACAAAGGTTCTGTTTAACAAAAAAAAAAAAGCGCCACATATTTTTTTTATTCGATTTTCTGCTAAATATTATATATCACAAAGGTAAGAGGAGCTGGGTGTAGTGATGCACATCTTTAATTCCAGCATGTAAGAGGCAGAGGTGGGTGGATCTCTCTCTGTGAATCTGAGGCCAGTCAACACTATGTAGTGAGACCTTGTCTCAACTCCTCCACCAAAACAAAACAAAACAAAACAAAATAAAACAAAACTAAACAAAACACCAACCAACAAAAAAAAAACCCAAACCAATCCAAAACTAAAAGATAATAGGAAAACTGTCTTTACCTAATAAACCGCCTTGGTAAATATCTTTTTTTTTTTTTTTTTAAATTTTTTAAAAAGTCACTAATTGAACTGTTGCTGCCTCATTTGAGATTAAGCTTTATAATCTGTTGCAACTCAGATATGTCAATACTCAATACAGATTTATTTTTATAGCATGACTGCATTTTGACATGGAAAGCTTCATCCTAAGAACCAATTTAATAAAAATGACAATTGCCTCTACCCTCTAACATAGAGGTTTTTGCTGAGAACTTTCCACCAAGCTCATCCAGCAACTGAAGTTGTCTGTTATAAATACAACTACATGGAAAATTTATACTCATGGAATTATTCTCACGATCTGGTAATGTTCTATCACAAACACTTCAGCCTGAACAGAAGAGTTTAGAAAAACAATCTACTAACAGGTTCAGCATGGCTGAAATACTATCCTCTAAAGTAGTTCTGTGAGTGTCCTTAACATGGCCTACTCATTGTATAGGAAAACATATGTGTATGAGAGAGAGAGAGAGAGAGAGACAGAGAGAGACAGAGACAGAGAGAGACAGAGAGAGAGAGACAGAGCCAAAGCCAGAGCCGAAGAAGGAGGGAGGGAAGAAGGGAGGGAAGAAAGGCATGCTCTTGATCAGTCAGTTGATTCTCTTCCCTCCTCCTCAGCCCCTCTGCTGAGGAAAGTGGGTTCTACAGCCAAACATCAGAAGAGGGCAGTTTGGACTCTTTTGTCCCTGTCATCAGAAACTGCAGAAACATGGTAGTCATTCATGCTGCTTGCTAGAGACAGTGTTTGGTTTGGCTCTGCTGCCACAATCACCCCTTACCTTTGTACCTGCCATACAGCTGCTCCAGCTTCTTCTGGTCCACAGTGCTCTTCATGGATTCCGGGTAGAATGCCTCTGGGTTTTGGAAGAAACTGTCGGTGGCCTCATCTAGTTTCCACTCACTCTGTGTTAGGCAGTAGATAGCAGTTTTCTCACCAGCCTGAGTGCATGCCATGAACTGGCGAACCTTGTCCTTCTGAGATGACTTAAGCTTATGCTTTGGGATGCAAAAGAAGTGGGAAAGCCAGTGAAGCCAGGTTTGGGTCAGCCTCTATTCTACATTTTAATTGAACTTAGTTTTCTTGCTGGGTGACTCAACTTTATTTCAGAATTACAGGAAGCCAAAGCCTTGTTCTTTATTCGTTCAAAAGACTACATAGTCTTCTGAAAATTGAAATGACAGCATCTATATAGTAACACATACATAGAGTTTAATCTCCAAAAATAAAGACAATCAACGTTTTATAGAAAATATATTTTGTGTCAGGCATGGTAGTGCACGTCTATAATCCCAGCACTTGGGAAGCAGGGGCAGGTGAATCTCTGTGAGTTCAAGGCCAGCCAGAGCCACATACTGAGACCCTGTCTCAAAAGAAAAGAAAACAAAACATTTACATCTCTACTCAGTATCCTTTGCATAAAGTTCTAAAAACTTAGTACAATCTTTCAGTAACATACACCTAGCCCTCTGATGATAAGACAGGAACCTGACGCCATCATAGGGTCCTGCAGGGTCCTTGGCTTCCATTAAGTTCAAGCTCTAATCAATAGGGAGAAACTGTGCAGTCTGGAAACATTATTGTTTTAAGGTTTTCCCTAGTTGAAAAACAGGAAAATTGGGGGCTGGAGAGATGGCTCAATGGTTAAGAGTACTGGCTGCTTGCAGAGGACCTAGGTTTGGTTCTCAGAGCCTACATGGCAGTTAACAACCATCTTTAACTCCAGTTCCAGGGGATCTGGACACCCTCTTCTGACCTCCATGGGTATTGCACACATGATGCATTTACATACATGCAGGCAAAACACTCAAACACATAAAATACAAATAAATTAAAATTTTTTAAATAGGAAAATACATATACAACAAAGAACTACACTGGAAGTAATTTACAAAAGTGCCACAAGTAAGCAGAAAAAGTCTGTTTATGATTAAATGAAAATGATAATATTAAGAATGTCAGCTGGGTGTGGTGGTACACGCCTTTAATCCCAGCACTCAGGAGGCAGAGGCAGGTAGATCTTTGTGAGTTCGAGGCCAGCCTGGTCTACATAGTGAATTCCAGGCCAGCTGGGGCTACAGGGAGACCCTGTCTCAAAAAGATCAAAAAAAAAAAAGAATGTCTGCATATCTGAGACAGAAATAAGATGAAAAATAGGACAGAGGCTGTGGGCATGTAATAAATAATAAAACTGTCAAGCAATGGTACTATATATAGTGTATAGTGAAACAGAATAGCATCTTCATACTTCCAGACCAGCACAGCTACTTCTCTAAGGTAACTTGATGAAAGCAACATCAGAAGTGAGTGGCTCATTTCTAGAAACCAGAACAGAGTCCATAATCTATGGGTTTGTTTATTTGGTGGTACTAGGGGTCAAACCTAGGGCCTCAAACACGCTTACATAGGTGCTATACTATGGTGCTATAGCACTAGTCCTAAGGACTTTTTTTTTTTTTTTTAAATACAATACAATATTATACAATAATAAGGGAAGTATTTTTACTTAAGGGGATTATACTCAATCTTGTTCAAATAAAGATGAGCATTTATAGCGATAGAGAATAAATTATAAATTACAGAACTATATAAATGAATAGCAGGATGCAAACAAAGAAATAGGAAGGAGTGAAAGAGAAGGCAGGAGCAGCATTAGAATAAAGACATCAAAAGTTGAAAATGGGCTGAAAAGCAGGCTCCAAGCCTCCTAGCTACCACAGCAAATCAGAAAATGTGACTAGGAAAACCTCTTGTTAATAAAATGTAAAAACCAACTAGTGGATTAGAAGTGGTACCATGCTCCTATCCTGAACCCTGAGGAAAATGGCCCTCACATCTCCTTATGAAACACACGTGCAATGTCCCATTGTAAAGCCCAAAATACCAACAACAGGAGAGGACATTCCAAAGTTTTCCTAAGGCAACACAAACACAGCTCCCACCAAAACACCAATGTTGACCCAGCAGGAGAATAAGAAGATGCAGTCTAACACAGCACTCTTGAGTAGGCTCTGGAGATGCTGGATGCTGAGACCTCTGGGAGGCTCACAACGACAAAACAGTCCTCCTAAGACTCTAGAACACCACCAGTCTCATGTTTATCTTCTTGAAAGTATGCAGGACAGGCCTCCAGGGGCTCCACTGTTTGTGATATAACAAGAGGTTGAGCATAGAAGAATCAAGAATTTATCTTTTATAATGCTGGACGGTAAGATATTTTCATAGATGTAAAGAAAAAAGTAATGGGTTCTCTATTACAAATTTTAAAATATATATTTATTTTAAAATATAAGTGAGGGGAGTTAGAGAGATGGCTTGGTGGTTAAGAGCACTGGCTGTTCTTGCAGAAGACCCAGATTCAATTCCCAGCACCCATCTGGTGGCTAACAACCATATGGAACTCCAGTTCTAGGGGATCCAATGTCCTCTTCTGACCTCCACCGTGGCCACTGCACATGTGCACAACACAGGTACACTAACACACATTCAGGCAATATGCTCACACATATTAAAAATAAAAACTTTAAAAAAAAATGTGAGGGGATGGTAAGACAGCGCAGCGGTTAAGAGCACTGGCTGCTCTTGCAGAGGAACTGGGTTCGGTTCCCAGCACCCACATGGCAATTAACACTGTCCATAACGCCAGGTCCAGGGGATTCAATGCCCTTTTCTGACCTCTGTGGGCACTGCACAACACAGGTACACTTACGTACCTACAGGCAATACACTTCTAGACATAAAACAAAACAAAAAAAAATTTTAATATAAGTAAATATATATTCATTTAAATTCCTGACATGGTAAATACTGATCAGCACTATTACCTATATAAACAAAAACTCCTTTCAGTCTCAATTACTAAAAAATACCCAGGTCCTAAGACAAAGGCCTAGACGGTGAATATCACAGGCTATAGCCATATGGTCTCTCACACACATTCTGTTTTGCAGGGTAAAAGTCAATAGTCAAGACAGTATGTACACAGGTGGGCATGGCTGCATGCAAATAGAACTTATTTATAAAAACAGGCAGCTGGCTTGTTGGCTGTAGTCCACTGACTCCAATGTAGATTTGGAGGAATATATGGAATATTCCATACAGTATTCCCTAAAATTGAGCCATTAAACAGAATAGGCAAAGAATCCAAGGTATGTTCTCGGCTAGATCAAATTTTGTTAAATTAGGAGCTTATATGCAATCATAGTTACCTGAAAACTGATAAAACCAGCATCATTTAGGAAGCTGGCAGTCACCATAGGGGAAGATTGACAATGCCAAAAATACCTAAAAAGCCTTAAGGAGAAATGTGTAACTGCTAAAATGCCACCTCCTAAGATCAGCCATGGTTTCTTTACTATGAAATAGCCATCAATGCTGGATTTTAAAATTCTGTTATGGTTATAAAACTAAATTTGGTATATGCATACAAAAGAATTATCCTTCAGTTTTAAGGAGGAATGAAGCAATGACAAATGCCACAATGTGGGTGAACCTCAAAAACATTGTGATCAGTAAAAGAAGCCAGACACAAAAGGCCATATGTCGTAGAAAATGTTATATGTTATATAGAATGTGCAGAACAGGCAATTCGTAGGTTAGTGGGTGCCAGGGGATGGGAGAGGAAGGAAGTACTCATGAGTACAGGGTTTTCTCTTTATGTGATGAAAATTTTTTGGAACTAGATAGAGGTAGTAGATGAACAACATTGGGACTGTTCTATGCACCACAAATTTGTATACTTAATGTTCAACATAGCTGGGCTAGTGGCACATGCCTAAAATCTCAGCACTGGAAAGCAGAGGTAGCTGGATCTCTGAATTTGAGGCCAGCCTGGTCTACATAGCAATTTCTATGCTAGCAAGGGCTACATAGTGAGACCCTGTCTTTTAAAAAAAATCCAACACAGTAGCCAAGAGCCTCAAGACTAATCAACAGTTACATGCCCTGGAACAGCTGCATTATTTAATCCACTGTTACACCATAGATGGCCACACAACAAGAAAATGTGGACATCTGGAAGTTGGGATGATGCCTGGTCCTGAGCTATGACTCCTGAGGTCACCTCTGGAGGCCTCTCCCAGTGTATTATAACACAGCTGCATCCAGTGCAAAGAGTCCAAGTGACAGATGCAAGTATATGCCAGGCACTCAAGTGAATTACTGAATTATTTCTATGCTAGGTATGAAGTGGGCAGAAGTGGACACAGAAATAAGTAGATCTCTCTCCAATCTATTAAAATTGCCTCATCTGTATAGGGTACTTCCACCAACTGCAGACCTCAAGGGGGTAACATGGTGCTAGCTGGGCATGAGCAGAGCAACAGCCAAGGACAAGCAAGGAGCTCGACAGCAGTCACATAATTTGATGTTATCTCTTATAAAGATTTCTCCATTAAAAAGAGGCTAATTAACATAATAATAGGGGCCAGAGAGTTGACCCAGCAGGTAAAGTGCTTGCTGAGCAAGCCCGACAACTTGTTAAATCTCTAAACCCACATAATGATGGGAGAAAACTGACTCCACAAAGTTGTTCCCTGACCTCCATACTGCATGACATACTCCCTATAATAATAACTATTTTTAAAAATTAACAGATAATTCTAAAGACAGTATTTCTTTTGTGTCCAAAAGCAACCAAGAGACCTCGGGTTCACTGGAAGAAAAATGAACTGGACTAAACTTTCCTTGGAAAAATGGCTCATAAACTAAAAACTTACAGGAAAAATGAGAGGGCTCCAAGTCCACATGGGCAGATGCAGAAATCCAGCCAAATTAGTCAAAGTTTACAAACTGGCAGGACCAGGGGCCTATTCACCACGGACTAATGCTAATGGCCTTCCCTGGGGCTTACCATGTCATGGAAGCTAAAGTATTGGGGGGCATTCTCTATGTTTCATTATTTCACTGTTAAAAATGTACAGAGTTTTTGTATATGACGGGTTTGCTAGCTGCTGGTCAGAACACTCTTCCAGCTGCTCTTATTCAGCACTGCTGGCTGCTTCCTCCTCAACCCTACCTCGGGTTCTAGGAGTTTTTGACTCCAGCTCCTCTTCCCTCCCCGTGGTTCTGTATCCCGAGCCCTCTACTCTCCAACTCAAACAGGAGTCACCGTGAAAACAGGCACAAAACTTGTCTTCCCAAGCTACCCAGCCTCACTACACGCGGCTACCGTGAGGTCCGTGGTGAAGGGGGGGCAGGGTAGGGGCAGGCGCCCCTCAAGCGGTCCGGGCCTTTGCCCAGCTCTACTAGGCTAACCGTCCTGGACCTTGCCGTTCTTCCCGTCCTTTCCTATCACCAAGAACCCCAAGCCTGAGCCGGCCCTTGGAAAATACTGCAATCGATGCAGTTCCCAGCCCGCCGAGGGCAAACCAGCCACATTCCACACCACCTCCCGGGTACTGCTCCAGTCTCTTACCGGAACCTAGAACGGGAGAATGGGGGGGGAGGGGGGTCGGCTCCGCCCACCAGGCAGGTGTCACCGGCCTTACGCATGGCCCCGCCCCACCACGCCCTCTAGTCCAGTCCACGCCCAGCCGACCATCCCTGAAACCCACCCGGGCTCCTCACGCGCTACAGGCAGGGCCGCGCCTCTCCGAGTCAAGCACGCTCCTCCCTCCACACCCTAGCGGCGAAGGCCCGCAATTCCGTCCGCTCGTCTCTACTCTGCTCCCTTGTCCTGGAGCCGCCGCTGAGCAGTGACCTAGTAGTCGGGGCCCGACCCCCACCTACCGGGCACAAACCCTGTCACCTACCATGCTCGCCAGCTCTGCCGAAGCTGCTTTGGCTCTCTGCGCAGGCGCACGCCACCCTCCGCTCCTTCGCGCAGGCGCTGCTAAGGGCGGGCCCTCAGTGTAGGCGCTCCCCTCGGCACCCCTCAGTGGAATGGGAAGCTAGCCCAGTCTCCGGCTTCCGGCGTGCACTGCGGGGCAGGTCTGTAAGGCGCTGCCTTTTGAGTGGACCGTGACTTCCCTTTTGGAGGCTGCTGCTGTTTTGTGGCTCTCAAAGGCCACGTGCCGAGTGGGAGGAGAGCGGCCCGTCGGCCCTCGGAACTACCACTCCCGGCGTGCACGGCGCCGTGCGAGGGCCGACGGAGCCGCCCGTGTTCTCCCTTCTTTAAGGGGACGAGGCGCATCGCGGAAGAGCCAATGTAGGCAGAAGGCGGTGCCGTGCCGTCCTCCCCGGAGAGGGAAGTGGGCAGGCCGGCGTCCAACCCTCGCCTAGGTGCGTGGCGGAGCGCCGTTTCACGGACTGTGATGCTGGGCTGCACGTCCAGAGCGCGGCCTCCTGCGGTCCGGGTGAGCGCTGCGGGTGCGGGACCCCTGTCCTTCCGAGGCGCGATCCGCCAGGGTCTCCATCCGGGGCGCTCTTCCTCGGGCACCCCTGCCCGAGGAGTCCTTCCTAGGGGTTACCCTGTCCAAGCATCCTTCCCGGGAGTCTCCCACAAGACGATTCTCCTTCCCAGCGGCTTTTTTCCTCCGGGGCTGCCCTTCCCAAGGCTTCACTCAAACTCGGCTCTTTCAGTTCCGAGTCGCCCATTTCCGCTCCTCTTTGGAGTTCTGTGTGGTCTGTGTGTTCTGCCCTGAGAGGTATCGAGGCAAATTGTTTTAGGCAACCCTCACATTCTCTTTTTAAAGAAATACCTGGAAACGGACACCCTAAGATTGTCATTCAAGGAGGGACATGCGATGGATGCTCCGCAACATTTGGATTTAAGTCTGGAAGGTGTCACAGTCAGTAAATATCCAGGTGGTTTACACATTCCCCAGGCAATCTTAATTTTTAATTTAGGCGTAGGTTTTTTGGGGGTGTAACCAACCAAATTAGTTGGAAGTGACGTGGAAGGTCACTCTAGCACGTTCTGCTAGCCTGTTCTCTTCAGCTTCTTGCTGCCGTTTTGCAGCATCGGCCAACTCTTGAAGGGATAGGACCTTGGTGGCTTCATTTTCAGCATCCAGCTTCCAGGGAGGCGCACAGTGGAGGTTTTCTTGCTGTTCTTTACGAGAGAAATATTTACTGCTGAAGATCTTCCCAAGTCAGTCTTTCCTCCTTTTTGGCTTTCCTGGCTCTAAAGAACGAACGAACACAATCGACTGGCCAGCGGTAGGCTCTTGTCTCCGTTCTTTGAGGACCTTACCTGGTACCATCTGAACAAATACGATAGTTATTTGAAAGCTGTCCGGACGCTGTGGTTCATGGACTCTTAAGTAAATTACTGTTCTCTCAGCCCTTGTTTTTCAGATCTTTCTTTGGATCATGACATTTTGTTCATCTTCCATCATTGCCTGTTTTTTGTTTTCAAAATAGTTTCAAGGTTTGGTTAACTAACAAAATACTTTTTTCCCTAGAAGTTTTACTTAACAAATACTTTCAAGTTTTTTAGTGGCCACAAGAATTACCTTTTTTTCTTTCCTTTCTGGTCTGTAATTCTTGTAATAATTAGATGTGAATAATATGCTTCGTTTTTACCACCTACTGGCTATTTTTATGGGAGTATAAGTACTCTATCTTTACAAAATGTACTTTAGAATTTAAAATAGATTTAAGCCAAATTGCTTAAGTAAATATTTCTATTGAGACTTCTCTTCCTTGTCTCCCTTCCTTTCTCACCTACTCAAATGTCTTGTGAAGAACTTCTGATTTTAAATCATTTATTTCAAATAATCCTTATATTTTTCCTTTTTTCAGGGGAAGCTAGATGACTTTGTTAAACATCTTAATCCTGTTCTAACCCCATCTACTCTACTTGCTTGAGGACTTTCCTTCCCACAGCCCCAGCCTGGCCATATTGATGAACAACCCCCCCCCCCCAAGCCTGGGCTCAGCTGAATAACCCAGGCAGCCACTAGAGCAGGTTGTCTCCATAGCTGTGATACAGTGGCAGAGCTGTTTTGAGGAGAGGGAGTCCTTGGGATACGAACCTTCTCTTCTTTATTGCTCTCCTAGCCGCTGCAGGACACTAGCCAGCTAAATGTTTGAGAGATCAGGTTCCTTTTTAGCAGTTTGGTGATTACAGAGGTAATGAGACTGACAGGTCCTGGAGAAAATGAAGTGGAAAATTCTCTAGCTACAGTAAAGGTAGTGTTCTCAAAGTCACATGCAATGCTAACCGGACTTCTGCCTCTCTGTTCACAGAAGAGGCTCAGTGGACCCTAATAGCTTCTTGGCTGTGGAACTTCCTAGTTTTCTAGGCGGTAGAGCCACTGGCCTGGAGGCAAAATGGAACCTGAGGCGGTCAGAGTGTAAGGAAGAATTGTTTAATTTTGGTGACTTTTCTTTGAACCTGTTGCAATATTTCTCAATTACTAAAAATCCTTAATGCAATAAAAGTAATGATTTTCATATAAAATGGTTTTGAACTAAGAGTATTAGAAGTTTTGGGGCTTTGTTTTTGGACTAGTCTTAGTGGCGAAACCACTTGCCTTTTTGCTCTGAATTATAATTTAAGGCATATTTTAAAATACCTTTTTTTTTTTTCCTAAGACAGGGACTCACTCAATAGTCTAGGTTAGCCTGGAACACACAAAAACGTATTTTGAGATGACTGTAGAGTCATGTGCAGTTGTTAAGACTAATACAGAGAATTCAGATGGAGTAGACCCTTCAGTTGCTTTCTTCAGGAACAGCACTTAATTGCTGGGCTTTGTATACCTGTGTATAAGCAGGAAGTTGTCCTCAGTAGAGTCTGGGGTTGAGAGTTCAGATTGCCCTGGGTGAGTGAGTGTATGAGCACCCCCCCCACCCTCGCTGCTCTAGACCTGTCCATCTCTAGGGGATCCCTCCTGTTCCTTTTAACAGCCACAGCCACCTCTTCTCGCTTCTCACATTGATGACCAGTCATCCAACTGATGTCTCTGTGTTGTCATTTTGAGAACATTAAGTGGAATTGTACACTATGTGACCTTTGGAGGATCTCTTTGGTCAACCTTGAGCCTATCGAAGTTGTATATGTCTATTCAACATTACAGATATCCAAAGTGTCTTTCCTCTTCCTCCTCCCCCCTCCTTCTTCCTCCCACCCCCTCCCCTTCCCCCCCCTCACCTTTTTCTGAAGCCATGGTCTTTTTATGTGGCCCAGGCTGACCTAAAACTTACTATGTTGTCCATGGTGACCTTGAACTCATGATTTTCCTGTCTTAGCCTCCTGAGTGTTGGAATTACAATTGTGCACCATTACATCTAGGATCAGTGTCTTTTTTAATAATTAAAAATAACAAAATAGCTGGGCGTGGTAGCACACGCCTTTAATCCCAGCACTCGGGAGGCAGAGGCAAGCCTTGCCTCTCTGTGAGCTCAAGGCCGGCCTGGTCTACATAGTGAGTTCCAGGACAGCTGGGGCTACAGAGAGACCCTGTCTCAAAAAGACCAAAAAAAAAAACTAAAAATGTTTGCTAATTTTCTCAAAAACTGTATTATAGAGCTAGGTGTGGTAGTGTATGTCTTTAATCCTAGCACTTGGGAGGCATAGGCAGGCAGATCTCTGTGACACTGAGGCCAGCACAGTCTACATAGTGAGTTCTAGGCCAGCTGGGACAACAGGGAGACCCTGTCTCAAAACAACAACAAAACCAAAACTAATAATTTAGTAGCTTGTGGGATTTTTTTTTTTGTTTTTCTTCTTCTTTTTCTTTTTGAGACAGGGTCTTCCCACAGCCCCAGCTGCCCTGGAACTTGCTATGTAGACCCAGTATCTGTGGGATTTTTAAAACTATTTTATTTATTTTTTGCAATGTATATGTTTATTGAATTTTTGTGGGTTGCATACATACTTTAACCATATTTACATGCCCTTCCCTAGATGCACCCCCCCCATTGTTGTTATTTTTATGTGTATGAGGTTATTGCCTGCATGTAAGTAAGTGTATCTGTGTTGCCCAATGCTTGTGGAGGTCAGAAGAGGGTGTCGGTTCCCCTGGAACTGGAGTTACAGATGGTTGTTAGCTACCATGTGGGTGCTGGGAACTGAACCCAGGTCCTCTGCAAGATTAGGTAGTGCTGTTAACCACTGAGGCGTCACTGTAAGATTTTGAAGGTAAAAATAAAATGAGCTTATGGAAAACGAGTGGTTTATATTTTAAGGTACTAAATAATTTCAGTATTGTGTTTATGTTCTGAACACATTTCATGGAAATAGTGTCACCCCAACTGAATCCTCAAGAGATGTCAAAAATTAACAGCTCCCTCAGTATGCTGGATAGCTTTAGTGTCAACTTGACACACCTGGGTTGAGGGAGCCTCAATTGGGGAACTGCCTCCATAGGACTGGCCTGTGGCCATGTCTGTGGGGCATCTTCTTGATTGTTGAGTGATGTGGGAGGGCCCAGCCCACTGTGGGTGGTGCCACCCCTGGGCAGGTGAGCCTGTGTTTTATAAGAAAGCAGGCTGAGCAGAGGTCAAGGGAGCAAGTCAGTAAGCAGCAATCCTCCATGTCCTGTGCTCCAGCTCCTGCCTCCAGGTTTTTGCCCTGAGTTCCTTCCTTGGACTCCTGGATGAACTTTGACCTGGGAGATGTAAGACAAATAAACCCTTTCCTCCCCAAGTTGGTAGTGGTCAGAGTGTTTGGTCACAGCAATGGAGAAACAAGCTAGGGCACTCAGGTATGAGATATCGTCTTTCAGGACCCAGGTTGAGGAAGGAGGCAGAAATGAGTATAGTGTGCCATTCTCATTCAGACTGTTCCCAGTGATCTTCTGAAGCATGAGGCCCATAAAATATTCCCCATTTGGAGATTTGGGGGAAGACGAGAAGCATAAACAAAGGAGCTGGAATGGAGTGTCTTTCTTAGTATGGCCTTCTCAATAGGGTGTATGCTTCCCAGGTAACAGGAGAGGCTTAGTCACAGAAGGAGGTCCTGAGATAGCAGATCCAGTGTATTGCCATGTAGGAGGAAATGATGTTTGCTTTTGAGGCGGTAACTTCTGTGGGTGAAGTTGTGTTGGTACTGGCATAAGGTAAAGCCACTATGGCAGCATGCTCTCCTTTCTCTTCCTTCTAGGAGGTGAGCCAGGTACTGTCCCCAGCCAGCCTTAGCACACCTATCTCTCAAGCCCTACTCAAATCCAACACCTCATTTTTAGCCAGAATATTGTCAGTTCTTGGTGACTTTTCATTGTCATTCTGACCACAGTGACTATACTAGCCTCTTGCATCACAGTATTATTTTTAGGTCCACTGTTCAGGCACACATCTGTAGCCCTCACTAAGTGATCTGCTCAAGGCTTTTTGAGTTCTCATGTTCGTTTTTGTTAGTCTTAATCTGTTGGCTTTCCCTTCCTGGTTTGGTCAGAATGCAGTGTCTAGAAATGCCGCCTCTTATTTTTGTTAGACCTAGCCTGCTTTGCCTGGAAAACTACATGAAATATATTAGAATTGGGGTTAGCAGTAAAATCAGAATACACATGCACACATGTACGCTTTAGGAGGTGGAGTCCCAGGGAGATGAAATACTGGTATGTTTCTGGGTTGAGGAGGTCTGGGCATGATAGTCAGTTGGAGCTGTGTTAAGAAATTAGGTAGGACACATCAGTGTTCTGCAGTTTCCTTTAAGCTGCAAATCCTGTGCAGATGGTGTATTTTGTTTTTTGGGCGTCACTCTTCATGACCAGGGGCTCCATGGTCAATAGATTCCACGGGTAACTCCTAGAGGTAATTTACTTGACCTCTCTGATCTTCGTTTCTTCCTCAGTATGTTTTTCAACCTCTGAGATCATTCTTCCTTAGTGACCTTTACTGAGCACTGTTGCCACCAGCTTCTCAAACAATCAGTGCTCTTGCCTGCCTTGGGCAGTGTCCTCTAGGTACCTCAACTGCAGCTGGCACCCTGCTGGCACCAGGACCTCCCTTACTCCCCAAAATGAGACTTCCAAAAGCAGTTCTCTTGCTGTTCTTACCAGACATATGTGGTGTTATAGGTCTAAAAACAGGAAAAGAGAATGAGCCTGAATTTCACTGATAGAAAAGGTTCAAATATTTGATAAAGCCCTAGAGTTCTGCATATGCTCATATTTTTGTAAGTATTTTTATCCTGATGTCTTAACTGTGGCTGACTTTGGAAAATTGGCAGTAGTCCATATGGTTTTGGAAAGCAAGCAGAGTGGCAGAACATGCCACTCAGCATCCCAGAAGGTATTTCCTGAATATTCCTGAGTTTGGCCACCCAGTGGCTCGCCATGTGCTGGAAGTTTTCTACTGGCTTTTGTCCATGTGGCTCCTCTTTGGCAGAATAGGCTTTTGTCTTTTGTGCATGGTAGAAACTGTCTATCTTTTACTTATTGTTTTACTTTGTTATTGTTTTGTTTTTGAGACAAGATCTAATATAGCCCAGACTGGCTTTCAAGTTGTTTGCTGTGTTGTCAAGATTGGCCTTGAACTCTTGATCCTTCTCTCTGCACCTCCTGAGTGTTGGGATTACAGACATGTGCTACCATACCTGGAGAGGCTGTTTTTAATTGCCTTCAAATCAGATGTAGCTCCTTTAACCATTACTTAGGGTTCTTTAACATTGAATATTTGTGTTAATGTATAATCAGCAGATCAGACGTTGATGTAATATTGTATTTGTTTTTCAGTTGAAAATGTGTGTCTAAAATGCAAGCTGACTGTAGCAGAAGTCTCTGGACCACTGCACCCCGCTCCTTGTCCTTGGACCATGAAGGTACTAGATGAGAGTCTCTTCTGGATGCTACTCCCATTCCTTCACGTGCTAGTGAGCGCTGCTGAGCACGAGGAGGTGGCAAAACATGCAATCAAGTTACACCGTGGGAAGGGTGCCACTGCCATTCAAAGGAAGCAATGGGTTCTGGACAGCTGCAGGAGGCTCACAGGGCTCCTTCGGCAGAAGAATGTGGTTCTGAACAAACTGAAAAATGCCATCAGAGCAGTGGAGAAGGATGCTGGTCTGTCAGATGAAGAAAAGCTGTTCCAGGTGCACACCTTTGAAATTTTCCAGAAGGAGCTAAATGAAAGTGAAAATTCAGTCTTTCAGGCCATCTATGGACTGCAGAGAGCCCTACAGGGGGATTACAGAGACGTGGTCAACATGAAGGAAAGCAGCAAGCAGCGGCTGGAGGCCTTGAGGGAGGCCGCCATTAAGGTCAGCCATCAATCTGGTATGAAGGGGCCTATCCTGTCAGGGGATCTGTCCGGATAGGGGTTGTGGACACAAGATTAGGAAGTCTGGCAGGAAGGAGTACCTTTCCTGCAGCCTGGTACTGCCATCACTTCTAGAAGGAACGCACCTTTGTCATGTAAATCCTAGTGCTGAACTCAGACTGACAGATGTGGAAATAAATATGCAGCTGTGTGTATGATGATGTTCTGGCCAGCACCAGGCTGCGCAGGTGATGGCAGGCCCAGGAGGTTGTCTTGCCCCATGGCTTCCCAACAGTCTTAGTTTTTATAGGCACAATGTAAACTACACATGTACCATCTTCTAATGACCCATTTCTTAGAACATAGTGCTGTCTGTACTTAAATGACATGTGCTACATTTGCAACTTCAGTGTTTTGTTGAATTCCTGACAGGAATTCCTTTTGATATGGTTTCGCTTTCTTCACTATCCATATACTGAAAGCAAAATATATTAAAGTTAATTTTAACACACACACACACACACACACACACACACACACGTGTGTGTGTGTGTGCGACCAGGCCCAGTGGTACACATCTTTAATCCCAGTAGGTGTATCTCTGAGATCAAGGCCAGCCTGGTCTACATAGCAAGTTCCAAGCTAACTAGGGCTACAGGGAGGCCCTGTCTCAAAAACAAAACAAAACAAAAACCCAAAACACACACACACACACACACACACATTTATTTAAACATACGTCTACATTTAAAGACAGGACTTTGAACCAAAGTATACCTTTTTTTTTATTTTATGTGTATGCATGTATTGCCTGCATGTAGGTCAGTGCACCTGTGTCGTGCAATGCCCACAGAGGTCAGAAGAGGCTGTAGATCCCATTGTTAGCTGCCATGTGGGTGCTGGGATTCGAACCCGGGTCTTCTGCAAGAACAACTAGTGTTCTTAACTGCTGAGCTATCTCTCCAGCCCCCAAAGTGTACTTTAGAAATGACCAGAAGAAACCGCTATTGTATCAGACATGGTTTTCTTTGAAATTTTTTATTTTGAAGGGCTGTGTGTGTGTTTGTGTGTCTGTGTGTGTGTGTGCGTGTGCGTGTTTGTGTGTGTGTGTGTGTGTGTGTGTGTGTGTGCAGTGTACAGGTGGAGGTTAGAAGACAACTTGGGGAGGTTGGTTCTTTCCTTCAACCGTGTGGGAATTGTACTTAGGCCATCAGGTTTGATGGCAAGCACATTTACCTGCTCTGCCCTCTTGTTTGTCCAGATGTGACTTTTTTTTTTTTTTATGTGTATGAGTGTATTGCCTACATGTGTGTAAGTGCACCCATGTCATGCAATGCCCATGGAAGTCAGAAGAAGGTGTCAGATCCCCTGGAACTGGAGTTACCGATAGTTGTTAGCTGCCATGTGGGTGCTGGGAATCTAACTTGGGCCCTCTGCAAGAGCAATCAGTGCTCTTAACTGCTGAACCATCTCTCCAGTGAACTTGGGCCCTCTGCAAGAGCAATGAGTGCTCTTAACTGCTGAACCATCTCTCCAGCCCCCAGATGTGACTTTAAAAAAAAAAAAATTTATTATAAAAATAATAGAAAACAAAATTTTTTTATTAAGCTGGGCGTGGTGGCGTACACCTTTAATCCCAGCACTTGAGAGGCAGAGGCAGACAGATCTCTATGCGTTCAAGGCAAGCCTGGTCTACATAGTGAGTTCCAGACCAGCTGGGGCTACAGAGAGACCCTGTCTCAGAAAGACCAAAAAAAGAATTTTTTTTTTTTAATTTTATTTTGTGTGTATGAGTGTTATGTCTGCCTGTATGTAAGTACACCTGTGTCCGCGCAGTGCCTGTGGAGGACAGAAGAGGGTGTCAGATCCCTTGGAATTAGAGTTACAGATGGTTGTTAGTCACCATGTGGGTGCTGGGATTCAAACCTAGGTGTTCTGCAAGAGAAGCCAGTGCTCTTAACCACTGAGCCTTTTCTCCAGCCCCAGATGTGGCATTTTTAAAGTAATCCTAGCACTCTCATATGCCAGGCACCACAAATAAAGCATCACTTATCTTCATAGAAAAAACCTACAGTGCTACTACATGGCTTAAACATAGAGAATACAGATGTCTTAAGTTTTTATTACCAAAATATGGGAAATATGTTAAATCAAGGCTTTCAGTAGCTGATTCAGTCATACTGCCCATGCTAATTGTGTGAATCCTTCTGACTGTTTTGGGTACTAGAAACAGACCAGGCTCCATCTTTAACAGATTCCCTGGAACTTGCTATGTAGACTAGACTAGCCTCGAATTTACAGAGATCCACCTGCCTCTGCCTCCAGAGTGCTGGGATTAAAGGCATGCACCACCATGCTCAGCCAGATTCACAGTCTTAAAGACCCTTTGGATGGTAGAGGGATTAAGACCTGGATTTTAAATAAGGATCTATAGTGGAATCCAGACCTGTGTGATAAAACAAAAGATAAACATGAATTTCAGTACCGTAAGTCCAAACATGCAGACTATACAACATCAAAACATACTCCAGGGGGCTGGAGAGATAGCTCAGCAGTTAAGAGCACTGACTGCTCTTGCAGAGGACCTGGGTTCAATTTCCAGCACCTACATGGCGGCTATGAACCGTCCTTAACTCCAGTTCCAGGTCAGTCCGACACCATCTTCTGACCTCTGCGGCATTGCACGACACAGGTGCCCTCACATATATGCAGGCAATATACTCATAAAATAAAAATAATAATAAAAAATATATTTTAAAAAACATACTCCAAGTTGGCATCATTTCCACCTCAAGGATATGAGGTTCTCCAGTGTGGTGATGGCAGCTGTGTTAGAGGCATCAAGAAGGTGTTAGGGGTCTTGGATTTGTCTAGGTACTGGCTGCCACTGCTCTGTCTCAGCCAAAACCCACACCTGAGTGTGTAAATATGTGAGTAAGGTTTTTTGTTTGTTTTTGTTTTTTGAGACAGTCTCCCTGTAGCCCCAGATGGCTTAGAACTCACTATGGAGACCAGGGATCTCATAGAGATCTCCCTGCCTCTGCTGGGATTAAAGGCATGCGCTGCCCCCCGCCCAACTCGGCCCATGAGTAAGGCGTTTTTTTTTTTTTTATTTTATGTGTATGCATGTATTGCCTGTGTGTAGGTAAGTGCACCTGTGTCATGCAGTGCTGGTGGAGGACAGAAGAGGCTTTCAGATCCCCTGGAACTGGAGTTAGGACAGTTGTGGGCTGCCATGTGGGTGCTGGGATTTGAACCCAGGTCTTCAGCAAGAACAACTAGTGTTTTTAACCGCTGAGCTATCTCTTCAGCCCATGAGTAAGGTTTTAAATCAAATACAATTTATGTAAAATATATAAAGTACATTTATTAAATTTTGTTACCATCACAATCTACAAGTTTCCCAAGTAATCAGTGCTGACTCCACGTTTTTGTGAAGTACGCCTTTGTAACCAGGATTGGACTCTATCTTACCTAGAAATTCAGAAAGTAGCTAAATATTCATGTGCACCTGTGCCCCATGCATGGCAGCACTGCTCCCAGCACTGCTCTGCTCAGCACATGGTTTTGTGTGAACAGAGGACCTTCGGGGTGGTGGGCCTGTTACAGTACAATGCTCCCTTTGGTGTGTATGCAAGCGACTGGTCCTGCACATTTTTCTAAGTGCTACATGTTTGAACAGTTTAGGACTCTTGACTCCCCCTGCTGGGTAGAGGGGAGTTGAACCTGTCACCCATTGACCTAGAGAACTTCTCATGGGTCTAATGCAGATCAGGACCTTGAGTAGATGTGAGGAAGTTATATCCTAATCTATTCCTTAATAAATCTTCATTTCTTACAAATGAACAGGAAGAGACAGAATATGTGGAGCTTCTTGCTGCAGAAAAACATCAAGTGGAAGCCCTTAAAAACATGCAGCACCAAAACAAGAGTCTGTCCATGCTTGATGAGATTCTCGAAGATGTGAGGAAGGCTGCAGACCGTTTGGAGGAGGAGATAGAGGAGCATGCCTTCGATGACAATAAATCAGTAAGCAGTACTCCAGAGGGACTCCCTCCACCTGCCAAACTGTTCTGACAAGCATGGGCCCTGGCAGCTGTTCACGTGTGTCTTAGTGAGATTCAGAATGAGGATAAGCTTCTGTGTCACATCAGAAATAGTTTGACTGGGTCTTCAGAAGTAAGCTCGCTATTCAACTTTTTTATGTCCTGGAACAACTATAACCACTCCTATGTGGTTGCTGATCTCTAGTCCCTACCTTTGCCACTCATCATGGTTGGGACTCTGGTCCCAAGGAAGTTTGGGTGGTTAGCTTTCAGCACTTGTCTCCCGGGGATTCTGCTAAACTCTGCAAAAGAGAGTCTTATATGAGAAATAGAATTCTCAGTCTGCTCACTTGTCATATGTTAAGATGATAAGGGAAAATTGATACTGATACCAAGAACTGTGGGTCTTTGGTGGATCTACAAAAGGTTATGGAATAACAAGTTAGAGTACGAGTAGACAGGGGAGACGATAGAACAGGGGGAAGGACAGAGTCCTTGATTAAGTGGTTCTGGATCAGAGAAGAGCTCCTATGTTTTTCATTGTGATACCAAGTTGCTTACGCTATCCTTGAATTCATTCTAGAGCCCAGGTATGTCTTGAACTTGGGATCCTTATGCCTTAAACTCCTTTGACTATGATTAAAGCCTGGGCATTAGACTTAGCTACTACTAATCTTGTCAGAAAGTGCTAAAACATTTCTGTCATTCTTTTTGGTCTTTACTCTTTAAACATTAATATGAAAGCATCTGATTCTAATTGCTTAACACTGGTTATTCTTACAGGTCAAAGGGGTCAACTTTGAGGCAGTTTTAAGGGTAGAGGAAGAGGAAGCCAGTTCCAAACAGAATATCACAAAGCGGGAAGTGGAGGATGGTCTGGGCCTTAGTATGCTGATCGACTCCCAGAACAACCAGTATATCCTAACCAAGCCCAGAGATTCAACTATCCCACGCGCAGACCACCACTTCATAAAGGCAAGCTGTAGCTGTCAGCCTTCATTTCCTGGGGGTGGTCAGCAAGGCTGGGCAGTATCTCCTGCCTCAGTTTGGGCGCCAGCCTTGGTTGCTGTCAGAGGCTCTGGTGGAGCTCTCACTTCCCTGCTTTGAAAAGCCTTTTTTGTTTTGTTTTATTGAGACAGGCTCTTGCTATGTAGCCCAGGCTGGCCTAAACTCACTGTATAGTACAAGCTGGCCTTGAATTCTTAGCAGTCCTTCTGTCTCGGCCTCCTAAGTGCTATGATTACAGTTTGCAGTACCACGCTTGGCTTTTAAATGGCCTCTCTCAATTTTTAATTTCTTTTTCTAACAGAAAACCTTATATTAACTAAACTTTAAAGTGAGGTTGAATTCTGCTTTTGAGAATTTGAAAGATTTTCTGAATTTGGAAATTACTGTGTGAGATTAAAGCTATCTAAAAGCAATTTTCAGAGGAAGCTGAGGCAGGAGGATCACTTAAGTGTGGGAACTAGAGGTCAGCCTGAGCAACATAAGAAAATAAAATAAAGTAAAAAACTATTTTCACTAAAATAGAAACCCTTATAAGGTAGAGGAGTTGTGACTAAGGGTTCCTGCACAGCTTCATTTGGGCATGGGGTAGAATGTTCCAGATGGGGGCAGTGCATGTCTGTGTCCTGCCAGGAAACTGGTCTAGTTCATCATGAGTACTCTAGAGTAGCTGACATGGAGGAGTGGCCAGTGCAGCCCTTTAGGGACACCTGGTAGGGTCTTCAGCAGAACTCAATAAAGGAACAGAAATAAGAGAGAGACTTTGGGTGAAGAGAGGAAAACAGGCTATCCAGGGGCTCCTTCAAAGTGCAGTCCTTTGAGACCCAAGTTCATGTCAGGTGTTGCCATCCTTGGTTATGACTGGAACAGACTCAGAGGGCTGCTTCGGTATAATGAGGTCATGAGTGTCCTCCGTGAAGGACAGGGGGCTCCTCTCTGAAGTATCCTTTCTCCCTCCTTTGGTAATGAATAAATGATTTCTGGGTAATACTTGAGACCATGTAGATAATCTTGTCTGAAGTCTCACTCAGGTTTCCACACCATGCTGAATCTTACTGCATCAGTTATTAAAGTGAGAAGTCTGGTGGTGAAGGTACATGAATTACAGTTAGCACACAAGCTCTGAGGGCCTCAGGACCAGAAAACTCAATGGAATTCAGGTACTCAAGAGTTATAAAATTCTTTTAAAGAGCTTAAACAGGTTCTTTCAGGAATGAGCTTTATCTCCCAGAGCACATCTTAAGGTTCCTGACTTCTGTGTGGGACACAGTAGTTGTGAGAATTTGTCTTCTTGGTTTCCTTGTCTGCTCTTCATTCCTAAGCAGTGAGATGAAATTGGGGACCTCTGTCCCATTCCACCTTCCCAGTCAATCACTTTGTGCTTATTACTTGTTCTGTGTTAGGATATCGTGACCATAGGAATGCTATCCTTACCTTGTGGCTGGCTGTGCACAACAATAGGATTGCCTACAATGTTTGGGTATATCATCTGTGGTGTGCTTCTGGGGCCTTCAGGACTAAACAGTATTAAGGTAAGAATAGCATGTTTAGTGTCTGTCTAATAGGATGCAAAAGAAGCATGATGAAGACTAAACAGATGGGAGCTTGAGTCAGTAAAGATGCCTGTGTTTTACATGCCATGGTCCTTGAAGCATCCTTTAATCCATGGGAATGTTGCATTCTTTGATGAGGGGTGGCTTGACAACAGCCCTTTCTGTCTCTTTATATTTATGTTAAAGATTGCATTTCTGGTGATATGATGGCCTGGATATCCAGATCACCATTCCAGCACTGAAGCAACTAGAAATGCTGGTCTCTGTGTAGTTTTAAGCAGTTCCTACTGCTTAGGAAGCTGGTTGAAGCCTTGGCCTCAAGAGTGGAGCTTGAGGTCATTTATAGAATAGGTTGCTGCTTCCTATCCTAGCATTTTAAGGTGTGTGAACTGAATACACTCAGGTGGGCACAACTGAAAGAGGATACTCAGAGTGAGTGCTATGAGTTCATCATGGAAGGAATGAGCAGGTGGACAGTACCTCACATCACTGAGGCACCCTGAGGGGTAGAAAGAGGCAGTGGACTGGGAACCCGTAGGATGCTGTAGTCAGTAATCCTTGAACCAGGTCAGAAGAACTCCAGTGATTTCCCCAGGCTGAAGTCTGACTGTTCTTAACAACCAATGGTATTTGACCAAGCAAAGAGCTGTCTACCTAGCTTCCTCAGGCGATAAACCTTGAGCCTTCCAGGGAGCAATTAACCTGATGTGGAGGAAGCTCTTACACCCCATGAACGCCTCATAGGCTCAGTGGCATACAATGAACTCTGCTCAAGCTTCACTTTCTAACTAGACATTTCCACATGACTAGAACAGTATAATAAGATTTAGGTAAAAAGCCCCCTCCTTCATCCCTCTCCTAAACAGAATGTTGAGGGTAAAAGTGGACACACAGAAGCAGAGATAGCTCACAAACAAACAGTTGAGTCAAAATAACTGGGCCACACACACACCTGGGTACTGCAAATATTCTGATCTTATTAATGTGTATGAGTATATTGCCTACATGTGTGTACATGTGCCTGTTTCATGTAATGTCTGCAGAGGTCAGAATAAGATGTTGGATTCCCTGTGTCTTAACAACTGTCCTGGAGTTATGGACAGTTGTTAGCTGCCATATGGGTGCTGGGAATCGAACCCGGTCTTCTGCAAGAGCAGCCAGTGTTCTTTGCCACCGAGCCATCTCTCCAACCCCTTAAGAATGTTGTTTTGACATCATAGAGATGAACTAAGAAAAGGGAAGAGAAATAAAAGGAAAATGAAAGTAACTGTTAAGGATGTCAAAGAAATAAGAGCAAACACTTGGCATAACAGTAAAAGTAAGTAGAATAAATTCCTCTATTAAAAGACAAAGACTTACTTATGGTGCCCAAACAAAAGTATTGTGAAAAAGAGATGCAGTAAAAATAAAGCAGCTAAGGAAGGTGAAAGTGAAAGGTACACCTGTACCATATGAACATTAAAAAAATTAACCTGTAAATATATTATACTGTTTATTTTTATCTAATACGGCAGCATTAAAAACAAGTTAAAAGACATATGAACCCTATATATCAAAGTCTCTCTAGGATGTGGCCAAATGTGAAAATTCACTTCATGAAAAAAATCTTTCTTCTTAGACATACTCAGATTCAAACAAAAAGTCAGTGTGAATTGTTGAAGCATTAAACTCAGGTCTGATGCCTCCGTATTCCCGGAGAAGGCTGAAGGAGCTAATGAAGACAAAAGTGGCAGTGAACTTGAAAGACAGTGGACCTCATATCTGGCTGATTGATTGATTGGCAGATTGATTGATTTAAGCTTTGGGATAATTTTATTAGAATTTAAGGAAAAATCCTCAGAGTAGGCAAGCTATAAATCTCAGCAGTGGCCTTGAGAATGGAGGGGAAAAAGGAAAAAGCCATGAAGCTGTGCCTGTTTAGAGCCACCATGGGGATCAGACAGACACATGTAGACTGGTAGCCACATGGCAGGGAGGAAAAGGGAGCTTTAGAGAAAAAAATAAAGACATGCTAGATGTTAGGACAACCCAAAGCATTAGGGAATGCATGCTTAGAAGAGAGATATGAAGAAGGAAAGGAGAGGTTATGCTTTTCTGAAAACCTCGTGTCCATAATGGGTCCATAAGAACTGCCCCACAGGTACTTATTGGTTTTTGTTGTCTGTTTGTTTATGTTTTTATTTTGTTTTTTGAAACAGGGTCTCCCTGTAGCCTGGAACTCCCCATATAGACCAGGCTGGCCTTGATCCCACAGAGCTGTCTGTTCTGCCTCCTGAGTGTTGGGATTAAAGGCATGCACCACCACACCCATCCCACAACTACTTCTTAATAGAAAATAAAATGAAAAGAAATATTACCCTGGTTAATGAAGAAAAGGGATGTGTGTGTGTGCATGTGTGTGTGCATGTGTGTGTGTGTGTGTGTGTGTGTGTGAGAGAGAGAGAGAGAGAGATCAGGAATTCAAAAAGATCTCAGATATAAAGGAGATTCACAGAATTTGTTTTTTTAAAAATACATATACTGTTCTTTGGGGGGTGGGACTTAGAAGATATTCTGTATATTAGTACTTGTTCATTTGGTTAACTATGCTTAGTAAGTGAAAAATTAAAGGATATGTTTTCTTGTTTTTCAGTCTATTGTACAGGTGGAAACATTAGGAGAATTTGGGGTCTTCTTTACTCTTTTTCTTGTTGGCTTAGAGTTTTCCCCAGAAAAGCTGAGAAAGGTAAGGACCAATGCCCTGTCGTAGCCTGTGAGTAGCCCAGTGTCATAAGGTTGAGTTTATGCACTTTTAGCATTTGTTGGCAACTTAGCTATCAAGTAATATTTTTAAAAATTTAGAAAATGACATTTTAGTTTGATATATTTTTAGAAAATGTATTTGAGGAAGTTAAAACTTAATATATGGCATAAATTTTCAAGTAACTGATCCAGCAAAGATCTGAGAATATTTGAACTTTAATATATGGGTCTCTCCAAGAGTGTGGAACTGAAAGTAAAATGCCAGAGGGGCTGAATATTCATTGTGCTTCCCTAGAAGAAAATTTCTGAGATGGAAGTGAATTTGATATTTTTGTTTTACTTCACAAGTGAGGAAAATAGCTCTTAAAGATTTAAGGTGGGGTGACCGGGTAGAATACTGTTGGAAGCTGGGCATGGTTGTACATGCCTGTAATCCTGTACTTGAAAGTAGAAGCAGGAGGGTCATGAGTTCAAGGCCAGTCTTGGCTACATAGTGAGTTCAAGGCTAGCCTGAACTATATATGAGACTCTGTCTCAAAACAAAAGCCCCACTCTTAATATTAAAACAAACAAATAAGTAAATAAATAAAAATAAAGGAAATTAAAATCAGTCACTATGTCCACGTGCTTGTGAAGCTGAGCCACCAGCAGAGTTAGTAACTGTTGAGTAACCTCAAGAATTGTGTGGTACCAAGACAGAATCAGTTGTGCTCTTTGTGAAGAGCACGCTCACAGTTTCACTCAGGAGCCTTGACCCAGCAGTTCTCTTACAGCTCTGTCAAAGGAAGGAACCAAATAAGTTTAAAAATATTTCCCCATAGGGCTGGGGAGAGAGAGCTCAGCTGGTAAAATGCTGGGACCAGAACCTATATGAAAAAGCTAGGCATGAGCTGTCAAATGCCTTGGGATAGAGACAGTTGCCACAGGGTCTGACAACCTGAGCTTGATTCCCAGAATCCACATGGTGGAAGTTCTGCACTTGTCCTCCAACTTCCATATACATACACTGTGGCATGAGTTGCTGCCTCCCCTTTCCCTGCTGCTGCTGCTGCAAAAAAAAAAAATCAATAAAGAAAATGTTAGAAGTAATCTGAATGCCTAATGGTTAAACAGTAATCCAACTGTTTGGCATGTTATACAGCTACTAAAATACTAGAGTATAGAAACAAAGGAAGGGATTTGTTACAGCACTACCCTTAAGGAAAAACTGAAGGTGTGTGCAGTGGCGGGCACCTGTAATCCTAACTATTTTGGAGGCTGGGGAAGGAGGGTTCCAGCCTGAGTTCCATACAGTAAGACCCATTCTAAAAATACAAAAGTGTGTACTGCATGATGATAACAGTGTAAGCAAGCATACTCTGGGAGCCCATGGGGATGACCACATGGGTACCATGGTGGCACCCTTCTCTGTGTTTCCAAATTTTCTGTAATGGTATGTCTTTTTATTTGTTTTTTGAGACAGGGTCCCCCTACATATCCCTGGAAAAGCTTGGTATTTGCTGTGTAGCCCAGGTTAGCCTTGAACTTGAGGCAGTCTTCCTGCCACTGCCTCCCAAGTACTGGCATTACTGTCATGTGCCTCCATGCCTGGCTATCTGCTTTTTTATTTTTTTTTTTATTATTATTTTTATTTTATGTGTATGTGTGTATTGCCTGCATGTAGGTAAGTGTATCTGTGTCGTGCAATGCCCACGGAGGTCAGAAGAGGCTGTCGGATCCCCTGGGACTGGAATTATGGATAGTTGTTAGCTGCCATGTGGGTGCTGGGATTCGAACCCAGGTCTGCTGTAAGAACAACCAGTGTTCTTAACCACTGAGCCATCTCTCAAGCCCTGCTTTTTTATTTTTTAGGGGAAAATTAACTTTCCTTTTAAAGTCTTGTATTTGCTTCCAAGAGTGACCACTGATTTCTGACATTTGTCTTCACACTGCATCCTTCCCTGGAGGGGTCTAGTTGTCATTGGTGCCTTTCATCTTTTGTCTCTTTTCTGCTGCAAGCTCTGTTCATCTGATCTGCCTGCCTGGGACATACTAAGAGAGACTTCTTGAGGTGTTCTGAATTGTGTTAGCGTATCATCCGGGGACTTTTAATCTTTTCATGTTCTTCTTTTAACATAAACCCCACACATTAATTTGTAAACTCTAAATAAAAGCAGCCTCATTTTCCTCTGCACTTTGTTGAATCGGGGTACAGGTTTTGATGGTGGGGTCTTTCGAGTGTCCTGCTTCATTAGAGTAGGAGAGGACCAGCCAGTACAAATGCCATCTTGGGCAGGCTCCATGGAAACGTGCGATCTCTGTCCCCTAGTACAGAAGGCTCGTCTGTGATTTTATTATTCAGTACATTCAGTGCAAACAGTGATTTAGGGCAAGCAAGGTGGGCAAAGTTCTGTTGTCCTATAACTAGCAACAAGACCTTAACAGGCTTTTACCTTCTTGGACATCTGTGCAGTGAAAATTTGGGGGGATTAAAGTTTTTCCTGGTCTTTAAAATTAAATTTTCATGTTTTTTTTTTTTTTTTTTTTTCTGTTGCAGCACTCAAAGTGTGATGGTAAAATGATGTTTTATGACATACTACTAACATAGTTGTAAGCACTATAAAGCAGTGCTAGTTTTAATCATGGTCTCTCGGTGGTGGGGGGTTATCCTTAGTGGACCTGAGGTACGGAGGCCCTGAAGGAACTGAGTGTATTGGGGATACTTGGGGTGGTGATATACCTGAGGAGATAATATTGGACTGGAGATCTGCAGTTGGGCCTTCATTTAGTGGCCCAGCAGCCTCCCTCCTGTTTTTGCTGGGTGGCAACCTAGACCTGGGCATGTGCCTTGGGCTCTGCAATCTCATTGCTGAGAATGCAGATTGTTTACTGTTTCAGTTCCTGGGTTTGGAATGCAAAGATGGTACCTACTTAGCAAACCACATTATTCAGTACTTTATCCATCTTTCATTTTTCCTTGCACAGGTATAAACTGGGAGGACTTTAGGGCAGCCTAAAGTAAGGAGAGTGAGCACTTCAGACTGGCAGGACTAATGTGTAGGTAGCTTGAGTGTGGTGGAAAGCAGTCCATAGGGCTTTCCAGAATAGTAATAACTGCTAGAAGCCCTCTCAGGACTCTGACTTCCCGGGGAGGGGGGGTATCCTTAGTGAACTAGAGAAATAGCTAAAGACACTGGAATCTGGAAGAGTTTCTCAGCGCCCAATGTGGAGGAGGGTGAAGTCTTCCTGTCCTGTCTGTTCTGCCAATTGTTGAATCTGGGTTTGTGGACCCATCAGGCCCTTCCTCACCATCCTCCTTTGAACTTGACTTAAACTGTTATGTTGTGTGTTTTATGGCAATGTCTTACTGTGTAGCTTAGACTGGCCTTGAACTCAGAAATTCTACCTCACCCTTCCAAGTGCTGGGATTCTGAGCATGTGCCTCTGCCATCTGCCTTTGAACTGCTGTTCAAATTTTCCATCTTAACAGTTCATCAGTTTCTACCTCTTTCTGAATAGATTATTAGTCATGGAGAGCCAGAGTTAGATTTTCTTCTCCTGTATTACTAGACTTCCCATAGGTTCTTACTGTGTACCTGTGGTGTTCGGCCCTCAGCAGCAAGTGGCACAGGCTCAGCCTGCCCTGTGGTTTGCCTTTGGAGTTTCAGAAGGATGTGTCTTGGGAAAGAAGAAGCAGAAACTTAAGACAATCTGTGAATCTGGGGTCCAAATGCCTGGGGATTAGGGCCTCTGCTGAAGGTTTGCTGGCCTGAGCGTCCTAACCGTATCTAATAGATAAGGGATAGATTCTAGTCTGACCTGGGGAGGCCTGTAGGTTGCATTTCAATGGCATCCTGAATCCCATGCTGACTGGGAACTTCTGACTGAACCTACTTGTTCCCAAGTCATTCCTTGCTTTGTTTTCCCCTGGGGCCCTCCACACCCTGCTTCCCTGGAGGTGCTAAATACTGAGGCCAGAGAAGGTCCATTCTGGTGAGGACCCCAGAGATCTTTCAGTCTCACTGAACCTTCATATGTGGAAAGTAGAGTTGTAAAGTCTATTGTCTATTTGGATATACAGCTAGTGAGTGACAGAGCAATCTTAAACTCCAGGCCCCTAGAGGGTTGGCAAGAATCTAAAGAAGGGCTAACCCCTCACAGAAATAACTGCTCCAAACCCTGAGCCGTAGGGTTGGCCTCACAAGTGGCTGTGTGAGGTACAGCCCCGTCCCACTGGTGTTGACATATGAATATTAAGAAGAACTTAGCTGGGTGTGGTGGTGCATGCCTTTTGTTCCAACACTCAGAGGCAGAGGAAGGCAGATCTCTGAGATCAAGACTAGCCTGGTCTACATAGCAAGTTCCAGGCCAGCTGGGGCTACAGAGAGACCTTGTTTCAAAAAGACTGAAAGAAGAGGAAAGAGGAGGAAGAAGAGAAAGCAGAGGAAGAGGAGGAGGAGGAAGACTACTACCACTACTACTACTACTATTCAAGTTAGCTTTAGAGCACCATTGACTGCTAAGCATGTGAAGGAGAGAAAGGCATCTGAACATTTTGGGAGCAGCCTTTATGGGGATGAACCTCCCTCCCTCTGGGTCAGTCTGAGCTACACGGTAAAGGAAACTAAGCAGACCTTAGACTCAGTCACCTGTCATTGGCCTCTATAATACTCAGATGATGTGTGTGTAGGCTTGATGGTTGGAAACCTTAGAGATACCCCCCCCATCAGCCTAGCAGGTACTTGGGAGGCCAGGTGAGCATTCACCTGACTGTAGTCAAATCTCAACCACAAGCTTAGGAGCACGTTCACCTTCCCAATTCTAGAAGAATGGACTTGTTACCCAAGAGTAGAGCAGGGGTAGGGAAGCTTCCAGACTGCAAAGCACCTGAGGGAGAGCCATATGAGGCTAGCTCTGTGTAAAGCGTCTGTCAGCCACCTCTTTACCACTTCACACTTACCTGACCCTGGCCCTATCCACTTTCAGTGGCTGGCTTGGAACTATAGGACTGGTGCCTACGAAACAATGAACTTGATTGGGAGTGTGTGGCAGGGACAAATGAACAAGAAAAATGAACAAACATTTAAGACAGAATAGGATGAGTTTAGGTTGCTGATGTGTTAGCCATCTCTATAAACACAGTTCTGATTGTGTTTCTTCAGTGAGCTGAAAGCTCTCTAGGGTTAGAGTTTAAAACTTCCATGTGTACTTTGGCCCAGATTCCGTGCCCCATGTCACCTTCTAAGCCCTCTGTACCTGGGAAGTCAGTCAGTATCAAGAAGGGAAAGGCTTGGGTAGGCCCTGTCTTTCCAAGGTGTACAGATTTTATTTGAATAATTGGAAGTCTTTGGTTCAATAAATTGGTCAGTTTAACATGGAAAAAAAAAAAACTTCCATGTATCTCATCATATTTGGCACCATGAGAAGTATATATTGAGCACCTAATAAATGTGGAGCCACACTGCCTGTGCTTGCTTCTAAGCTCTGACACTCATTGTTCATGTGGCCTTTCACAAGTCACTTAACCTCTTTGTCTTCATGTCTCCATCCAAAGATGGGAAAAGGTGGGCTGGAGAGATGGCTCAGCAGTTAAGAGCACTGGCTACTCTTAGAGAGGACCTAGGTTCGAATTTCAGTACCCACTTGGCAGCTAACAACCATCTGTAACTCCAGTTCCAGTGGATCCAACACCCTCTTCTTTCCTCCACAGGCATTGCATGACATGGGATGACATGGGTGCACTTACACACATTCAGGCAATACACTTATACACATAAAATAAAATAAAACTGGGAAAAGGTAATCTGTACTTCCAGGATTTGTTCTGAGGATTTAGTTTTTTCTATGTGTGTATATATACATAACACATGGAACAGACAGAGGAATCCCATGTGTAAATGCCCTGTAGGCAGTCTTTCATACTTGAGGCTTCTGCATTTATGGATTCAACCAACTGTAGATTGAACATATTCAGAAAAAGTATGTCTGTACTGAACACATAATAGACTTTCCTCTGTGACTAATTCCCTAACTAATAAAACTATTTGTATAGCATTTGTGCTGTATGAATCTTATAAGTCATCTAGAGATGATTTAAAGTCTACAGGAGGGCATGCATAAATATTACACTTTTTTGGGGGGGTCTTTTTGAGAGAGGGTCTCCCTATAGACCCAACTGGCCTAGAGCCTGCTATGTAAACTATGCTGTCCTCAATCTCACAGAGATCCACCTTCCTCTGCCTCCTGCCTCTGCCTCCTAAGTGCTGGGAATAAAGACGTGTGCCACCACACCCAGCTCAACTACACATTTTTTGTAGAAAGTTTTGAGCATTGGAGAATTTCAGTATCTGGTAGAGTTCCTGTGCTAATCTCCAGGATACTGTGAGATGACTGTGCATAGTATACATGTCTGTGTCTGAATGTATTTCAGCCTGGGATGAGTATTTATTCTGTCAAGACTAGCTTGGTGTATAGGCTCTGAGTTCCTTCCTGAAAGATCAGTTCTCAATAAATGTGTGAACTCTGTGGTTCTAGCTCAGAGATGGGCTGCTATCCCTGAAATGTGCATGAATACTTGTATTCTCTTTAAGGTGTGGAAGATATCCTTACAAGGACCTTGTTATATGACACTACTGATGATTGCTTTCGGCTTATTGTGGGGACACCTTCTGCGGATCAGACCCACTCAGAGTGTCTTCATTTCTACCTGTTTATCCTTATCAAGCACACCTTTGGTGTCCAGGTTCCTTGTGGGAAGTGCCCGGGGTGATAAAGAAGGTAGGTAGCAATGTGTTCTAAGTGTGTATGTAGTTAATGCTTATGTGCAGCTGACATGCAGATTCATGATTGAAGGCCTGTGAGGAGAAATTGCAAGGCCTCCTTCTTAGGACTGTCCAGCTGCTAGTGGCTACTCAGGTACATCTTCACATCAGTGAGGAACTATCCTACCTCTGACCTCAGTACTTCCAAGCCTACTCATCTCTGCTGGATTAAAAGAAACACCCCTTGTGTGCTTATACACCCAGCATAATTTGAGAGCCCGAAAGAAACTAGACCAAAATCAGAAGAAACTGGACTACACTGCACAGCATACTAGAGGAGGAGGGTGGCTTGTTGAAGAGGCGAGTGTCACTATTTAATTGTGGCAGTACTAGGCAGCTAACACACTTGGCACAGCTTTCAGTAAAACTAGAGTGCTTTAGTAATGAAGGAATTGTGAGCTCTTGTACTTGAATTGGTTTCATTTATGTATGTGAACTGTTGGCATCTCTGAGCCACTGCTTTTGTGTGGTGAGATCAGAGCAGTATGGGGCAGTCGCAGGTGGCCTTACCATTCAGCTCTGTGTCTTTGATAGGATTGCAGATTATCACATATGCTTCTTGATGAGGCAGTCACTGTTTTGTTCTTTGTCAGAGTAAAATACAATGTCAAAATATTAGTAACTTCACACTGATACCCTGAATATACCAGAAATAGAAGAGAAAATGAGAAAAGAAAGCCAAGAAAGCATGGCTAACGCCTCCAGTGAGACTAAAGCTGCTGTACTGGGCACAGGGAACTGTGTAGGGCATTAAGTAGAGCTGGCCCTGGGCCTCTTGAGCTTTAGGCTAGAGGTTGAGACTCTGGAACTCCACTGGGGCTGTCCTGAGTACACTCGTCATGTGACCTGAAGGTGGAGGCCTCCCACCAGAAAAGGGCTCTGAAAGTGGGATCATGGGACATGGATGCAAGCCTTCCTTGAGTGACCCAACCAGCTGTCACTGCCTTAGTGGCTGCATCTGTGCTGATCAGCAGAGGCCCATTATTTCTGTTGCTGATACCTGACCTAGCAGAACTGAGGACTGGGGCTAAGGGGAGACAGGCAGAGACAGAGTGAGCCAAGGATGGAGCTCCTGATGGATGGCCTGCACACAAAGAAGTCTGCTGCTAGAAAAGACAGTGTCAGCCTCAGTGTCAGCTTGAGGCCCTCCACAAGGCCCTTGCTAGAGCAAGTTCAGATGGCTAGAATTGTAAAGAGGGCATCACATCTGTGTAGTTAAATCAGACACAAAGAGTATAGAACAGAGAAGAATTGGGAAAGAGCATTCAGACACACACAGACAAGGTTGGAGGCTTGATATCTATGTGTAGGAGAGGTTAAAGAAAATAGCTGGTAATTTTTCCAGAACTGGAGAAAGACACAAGCCCTTAGATTTAAAGTATATCTCCAAAACTGAATGGGAAAAATAGAAGATTTGCTCTAGCCAGGTCAAAATACAGAAGCAGTGTTTCCAGTCCAAGGAAAACTCAGCTCCTGTCAGGAGAGACAAGTAGTTTAAAGGAACAGCACAGGTCTTCTCTGAAACACCAGGTCATGGAAAAGGTGGGGAAGTGCCTGCCTGCTGGGAGGGACAGGTCATCACAGGAATGTGACTGAGGGGTGAGCCTGCTGAAGGCATTTTCTAACGTCCCCAATCCCACACTATAAAATGTCAACGGCAGAAGGGTCAAAGTGAGGGAAGCATGACAAGAAAACAGTAAATGGCACAGAATTCCCAGAGCTGTATAATGTACCTATATCACAGTCAGAAGCTGTAATTTGGGGGCCGGGGGAGGGCTTTAGGGGTTAGGGATATAACTCAGTTGATAGAGTACTTGCCTAGCATTCATGAGGCCATGGGTTTGACCCCTGGTGCAGGATAAACCAGGTATAGTGGCTTGCACTTATAATCTCAGTATTGAGGTAGAGGCAGGAGGATCAAAAGTTCAAGATCGTTTTCAGGTACATAGAGACTTCAAGGCCAGCCTAGGCTAGAGATCCTTTTTTTTTTTTTTTAAAGGCGTTAATGTATAATAAGGAACTTAAGAGGAAATCTCTCAAAAGATGTGTAATTACCTTTGAGAGTAAAGAGAAAAATCATGCCAATGCAATGTTGTTGCAGAGAATTGGTGTTTGTGGACAGAGCCTTAATATATAAGATGGGATTTTTCCCTGAATTCATAAACTCACAACTATTCCAATAAAAAAAATCTGGCAGGGTTTTCATGGAACTCCGCAAAACAAACTTCAGCTTCACTTACAGACAAAAGGCTAAGAATCACCCTTATAAATTTGAGTGAGGAACCCTCTGGACGTCAAGACTTTGTGTGGCTGTGACAAGGTAGGCAGCGCCTTGCCACAGGCATGGATGGAACACAGCAGGCATCCCAGATGCTGCAAGTAAGTGAGAGAAAGTGGTGAATCACTGGATAAGAATAGCTGCCCCAAAGGGAAAAATGAAATTAGAGCCCTACCTTGAACTATGGAAAAGTCAGTTCTGCATGACAGAAGCCTGGGTAATGTCCTGTGACCTTAGGGCAGTACACATTTCCTAAAATAGAAAATACTGAATCCCTCCAAATTACTGATAGACATGAGCACAATAAACTTAGTAGCTTTTCAAAATGCTAGGGGAAGACATTTGCTTACTCTATAGTGTACAGAGTTTGTCTTGGCTTTCCTGTTGCTATTGGTAATAACCCTGACAAAAGCAATTTAAGGAAGGAATTGTTAATTTGGGCTCTTAGTTGAAGGGAACAGCCCATCATGGCCGGGAAGTCAAGGCTGCAGGAGCTAGAAGCAGCTGGGCACATGGTACTGGCAGTAGGGTGAGCAATGAGTGCTGCTCTCGGGTCCCTTTTTTTTCTTTTTAGATTTTTTTCTTTAAAAAATTCTTAATTGAGCCGGGCGTGGTGGTGCACGCCATTAATCCCAGCACTCGGGAGGCAGAGGCAGGCGGATCTCTGTGAGTTCAAGGCCAGCCTGGTCTACATAGCAAGTTCCAGGACAGCTGGGAAATTCTTAATTGAATTTTTTTATACAATATTGTTCATTGGTACTTAGATTCCCCTCCCTCTGGCCAGAGCCCCCACCCAATTTAATGTACTCTCATTCTTGTGTGTGTGTGTGTGTGTGTGTGTGTGTGTGTGTGTGTGTGTAAGAGAGAGAGAGAGAGAGCCTATTGAGTCCAATTTTGACCCCAAATGCTCCTCAGTGTGGGTGTATCCACTAGGCCCACCGAGAGACCCATCCCTGTAAGACACTGTCTTTCCCCCTCCCAGCAGCCCAGGAGGGTCTTCCCACTTCGATTCAATTGACCTATCAAGATAATCATTCACAGACATGCTAAAAGGCTGACCTAATCTAGATAATCCCTTAGAAGTGTGCCTGACAGCTTGTCTCCTAGGTGATTCTAGATCTTGTCAAGTTGACAACCAATATAAATCATCACAGGGCTCATACCAAGAACTTTTATAAATCCAAACAAAAAACTAACCATTGGAAACCCAGCAAAGCATATCTTATGAAAGAGAGTACCTAAGTGAATGTGAAGACACTGCTTCTCGTGAGGCACCCTGCAGAGACAGGCTGCACCACCATTGCACCATTTAACTTGTCAGCTGACGTGTTTTTCTTTGTAAATGAAATTTTATTTACTATATCTTTTTTTTATGTCTTTTTGAAACAGGGTCTCCCTGTAGCCAGAGCTGGCCTGCTATGTAGACCAAGCTGGCCTTGAACTCACAAAGATCTGCCTGCCTCTGACTCCCAAGTGCTGGGACTACAGGTGTGTGCCACCATGCCCGGCATACTTACTATGTCATTTTAAAAAGGTATTGCTGGGGCTGAGGAAGTGACTCAATGGTTAAGAGCACTGGCTACTCTTGGAGAGAACCTGGATTCAATTCCCAGCACTCACATGGTGGCTAATAACAGTTCATAATTCCAGTTCCAAGGGATCCAGCGCCCTCTTCCGTCCTCTTTGGGCACTGCACAACACAGGTGTACTAACACACATGCAGGGAAAACACTCATACACATAAAATAAAAATACATTAAAAAAAAAAAAGCTATTGCCATCTACCATAATTCCTGGCAATTGAAAGTGTCTTTTTAAATCAAACTATCAAAATGTTAATTTCAGAAATGTATCTTTATGTTCCCATGACTGTAAACATTAAATAACATGAAAAATCAAAACAAAGAAAAATTGGAAAAATTAGCTGCATTAAATAACATAATATATGTATGCAGAATCAGCTGGCATACTTTTTCAGCAGAGGAACAGATGCTGTTCTTCTTTTGTTTTGAGACAGTCTCAAAATGTAGCCCAGGCTGGCCTCAGACTCGGTTCTCCTGTCTCAGCCTCCTAAGTGCTGGCATTAATGGGGTGGCACCACTATGCTTGACTGTGGCAAACATTTCTAAACATGGCCTGTGCATTGGCAGAATGTCAAGTCCCCGCACTCTCAGTGGAACTGTAAATGAATCTAGCCTCTTTGGAGAAAGATGTCACATGAGAAAATTTTCTTTCTAATTAAGTGCCCTAAAAAGTTCTTGTAAAACAAGAATATTAAGAACAGCCTTACTTTTAATAGCAAAAACTGAGAAGCAGCCTAAGTATTCAATAATACAGGATAATACAGTTGGTGGCATAGTCACAGGACTACTATGAAGCCAATGTGAGCTAATCTCAGGGTTAAGGGAGAAATATAAGGCGCAGAACAAACATGTCTGTGATGATATCATGTATGTAAAGTTTGGAAGCATGAACTTTTGCTCTAACAGCCTAAAGAGGCATCTGAATGATAAACGTAGGTGAACTGTGTGGTGTTGACTCTGCAGAGAGGGGAGGGCTTGTGACCAGCAGCAGCTGTGTGGAAGCTGGCAGCAGCTCATTACATGGTGTTTACTACCTCTTTCTCCATCCACAGAGTTTTGCAATTGCTTTCTAACCACTAAGGTAGAAATGCAATGTGTAGTTCCTGCTCTTAATACTGTAGGTTTATGGTGGTTAGGAAGAGTCCCTTCCTGTGAAAGGACATGCCAAGGGAGGGGGTAGGGAGGGAAGTGTGCTCTTAGTAGTATGTAGAATGTAGAAACCTGTAATGTGAAAGGGCTGAGTCTGACTTGTCAGGTAGCTGGGGGTAGGGACACAGAGACCCCATTTCCAGGACATAGAATATGGGCACCATTATCTAAGCATGTCATCTTGTTTGCCACGGCATCTTTCTGATAATGATGTTTTTAAAAATATTTTTTATTTTATGTGTATGAGTGTATTGCCTGTATGTATGTAAGTGCACCCATGTCGTACAATGCCCACAGAAGTCAGAAGAGGGTATTGGATCCCTGGACCTGGAGTTATGGATCATGGTTAGCCACGATGTGGGTGCTAAGAACTGAACCTGGGTCCTCTGCAAGAGCAGCCAGTGCTCTTAACTGCTGAGCCATCTCTCCAGCCTGATAATGACATATTGCAAAAATTATATTACAGAAGTAAAGTATTTTGGTGATTTTCTTTATAAAAAGTTTGTCAGTCATGTTGGATACTTGTAGTCCCAGGTACCTGGGAGACCGAGGTGAGAAGATTGCTTGAGACTAAGAGCCAGTCTAGGCAACATGATGAAACAACACCCCCCAACCCCGCCATCTCAAACAAAACTGAGAAAAGAAAAATTCTTTGAGAGAAAATATTCAAGTGTTTTAAAGATTATAAAACCTTTTAAAGTTTGTTTTGTGATGGGCTTCATTATGTTGCCCAGGCTGGCCCCAAACTTGTGCTCAAAGGATCCTTCTGCCTCAGCTTCCTCAGTAGCTAGGACTACAGATGTGCTCTACCTTTCCAGCTCCAAAGAGATTTTTAAAAGTCTGTTCTTATTAAAATACCAAGATTATTTGAATTGCTGGGCGTGGTGGCGCATGCCTTTAATCACAGTACTCGGGAGGCAGAGGCAGGTGGATCTCTGTGAGTTCGAAGCCAGCCTGGTCTCCATAGCAAATCCATAGCAAATCTCCATAGCCAGCTGGGGCTACAGGGAGATCCTGTCTCAAAACAAACAAACAAACAAAAAGATTATTTGAATTATATTGAAGGTGTTTAGGGCTTGTGAGTTTTGTTATTGTTTTGTTTTTAATTTTATTGCATGTATATATATGAGGGGGCGGGGCGGCATGTGTGTGCCCATCAGAGGACAACTTTGTAGCATGGGCTCTCTTCCACCTTTTCATGGGTTCCAGGGATTGAATTCAGATCACCAGGCTCATGCTAGGACTACAGATGTGCTCTGCCTTTCCAGCTGAACCATCTCACCAGTCCAGGGCCTGGGTTTTAACCGGGGTACTTTGAGTTGCTGAGCCTTTGTTCTGAGTAGTTGTTTTTCTAGCAGGTGACATTGACTACAGCATGGTGCTGCTTGGCATGCTGGTGATGCAAGACGTGCAGTTGGGGCTGTTCATTGCTGTCATGCCAACACTCATACAGGCAGGAGCAAACACAGCTTCTAGGTACGTGCTCTGTATGCTATCTTGCTGGTCTAATTTAGAGTGATTTGTTTCTAAAAGTGCTAAACATAACCTTTCCCACATTGATGCCCAGAGCTCATGTCACACAGGTCTCCCAGCACAGGCTATGGTGGCATCACCAGGCTGATTCTGGCTTTGTTTTGTATCAGCTCTTGGATGGGAATGTTAAACAGCCTTACTTCTCTCTACTTCCTGTGGAGTGGGGCTGGACTGCACCCATTCTATGGTAATTCAGGGATGTAAATGAGGATAGCCTCTAGAAAATCGTGATGTGTGTGTGCCTGCATGCATGTGGTGATGTGTGTGACAGCTACTGTCGTTGTCACTGTCAGTATCACTGTGTCCCATAATCTTTCTTTCCATTTTCCCAAAAAAACAACCACAAACCTATCCTGCATTTGTTTGGTGTATATGGAAGGAGAAATTAACTTGGAAAAATTAACTTGTCCAAAACATCTTGGTTGTTACAGGTCCAGATATCCTGCAGGAACCCCAGCCAGGATTTAAATACAGTTGGAAAGTGTAGGGAATCCTAAGAAATGAAGAGTAAACTGTGTGCTACAAGCCTGATTTTTGCCTTGTGCTATAACTTATCCAGACAAAAACTATGCCTCATCTCCAGAGTAAATATTTACTGAACTTTGGACTATAGTACTAGAACTAATCAAAATTAATAGACTTTCTTGAAGTCAGACCCATTTGAATTGCTGACCTGTCTCAGCTTTGTTTCTCCTTTTCTAATCTGTGCCTTCCCTTTTCTCTTGAGTGCTGCCTTGGCTAGAGTTCCCAGGATGTTACCAAATGGCTTGTGGGCTTGTGTGAGAGGATGTCCTGCCTGGTGCTTAATCTTAGGGGAAGCATTCAGCCTTTCACTGCTAAGTATATGTCAGCTGTAGGGTTTTCTGATGGTCTCTATTAAGCTGATGAAGTTTTCCTCAGTCTTTTTGGTTTGTTTTTGCTCTTGTTTTTTTGAGACAGGATCTCACTATGAGGCCAGCTGTTCTCAAACTCTTGATCCTCCTGGTTCAGCCTCCTGGGTGCTGGGATTATAGGAGCTCACCACCAAATGGGTCTCTGTTGAGTGTTGCTTTTCTTGTTTGTTTTGTTCTGTTTTTTTTTTTTTTTTATCATAAGTGGATGTCAGGCTTTGTTGGACACTTTTTCTGCAACAGTTGGTATGATTGTATAATTTTTCTTCTTCAGCTAGTTGATGTGGTGGGTCATGTTGATTTTCAAAAATTGAACCAGTCTTGTATGCCTAGAATAACCCCCTTGGTCAGTCTTACCCTCTGCTGTGCTCACCATGTTGACTGCAGAGGACTTTGGGGTCTGAGACCATGAAAGAATTTGGGTGCAGTTTCTCCTTTCTATACTCTGTGTAGTTTTGGTAGGACTCATATTAGGCCCATAAAATGATTCGGGAAATGTTCCCCTCTCTTGTATTTTCTGTAAAACATACTGAATTGATGTTAATTCTTCTGTAAGTGATTGTAGGGTTCTCCTGTGAAGCCATCTGAGTCTTGAGTTTTCTCTTGGCAGGGGGGTTCTTGTCATAGAGGTTACAGAGCCCCTACTTCATGTCATTAAGTATAGTTTAGCTCTTTGAGGAGTTACTCCACTTCCTCAGGTGTCACTTCTCTGTGTCACTTGGCTGTTGTTCTCCCTTACTGACTTTCTAATGTCTGAAGGGTCTGCTGCAACATCCTGTTTTGTTCCTGATATTTCTTTCTACTTGCTTTGGGTTGCTTCTGTTCTTCCTTTCCTAGGTTCATGTGATGTGAACTTAAGATTATTGATTTGAAGCCTTTCTTTTTTGTGGAAAGTGGATGGGTTGGGAAGAGATTGTAAAAAAAAAAAAGCGGGGGGGCAACAGCCTAGACCAATAGTGGCCCAGAGCTGAGCCCATGGCCCGTTCCAGACTTGGTTATAGAGAAGCCTGGTCTGAAGTGCAAGGTAGCCTAACTTGCTTTACTTGGGAGCAGGGAACAAATTTCCATCTCTCCAAGGCCGAGATACTGGTTCTCCCTTAGTTTGCAAACTTTCAGAATGCTTTCCACCAACCTGTCTCATGTGCCTGTTGGTGTCTTTATGCCATATTTGTTTGCTTCAAGCCCAGTTCTTTACTAAGTTCCCTATGTCATGGTACAGCAGTCTGAGATTTGTGCTTCGATCATTCTTTTACACCAGTCTGCAGTGATGTCAGTATTCAAATGGGTTTCTTCCACTGAGAAAGAGAACTTTTACACCAGAATTTCAGGCTGAGTGGTGGAAAGTTGAGTCTAAACATACGTGATTATAATACTGTAAATGTAAGTAGCACCTTTCTGGTGATAGCCTGTAGGCTGAGTCCTTAATAGTCTCTGAGATCTGAATAGTGTGTTCTAAAGAGTATAGAATCACTTTTTCAGCCAGGCATGGTAGTGCATACCTATAAGCCCCCAGTACTTCAGAGGCTAAGGCAGGAAGATTGAGTTCAAGGCAAACCTGGGCTGTACATGGTGAGACTCAGTCTCAAGAAACAAGACAACATCATAAAAGAATCACTTCTCATCTAAATACTAGATATAAATTCCAGGGTTGGACTTGGCATCAGGAGTACTTTGCTGAAAGTCAAAGGAATTCTGCAATCTTGCTTTTGATGGTGAAATTGTAGTGTGAGGTAAAGGGAAACGTTGCCTCACCAAGAACAAATGGGGCTTATTCCTGATGAGGAACTTTTATCATTCAGCATCCACAAAGATGGAAAACTGTCAGTTGAGATTTTTTTTGTGTGTGGTGTTCATGCATTTAGGGAGGATTGCTCATGTCAGAGGAAGACATCAGATGCCCTGCTCTACTACTCTGTTTTTGTTTTTTTTTTTTGTCGTTGTTGTTATTGTTTTTTACCAGAGGGAAAATCTTAGGATATTACTAGATAAAGGTACAGAAGGAGAGGGTGTAAGGCATATTTGGCCCTCATTGATCTAATTAGATTGCTCCAGTTCTGTGTTACTGCTTATCACCCAAAAAACAACAATAACAACAACAAAAACCTAGCAGGCTGGATCTGAATCTCTTCTATGAAAAGGTTCCTGGCTGTTGATAGGTCAGAGAATTTCCAAGCTCTTTGCAAAATATCTGGATAATACTTTATCCTAAATATTTTGAGGGAGATATTAAATCCTATAGATTCTAGAATCAGATGGGGTCTAGGAGAATGGGGTACCACACAACCCTAGCATAATTATATGATAGCAACATGACATTTTCACAGGTCAAGATGCTTCTAAGGCCTGCAAACAGATATAAATAAACATACTCAGTCAATAGAGTTGGTAGATTTTAATGTAAATTGGCAGAAGTTAACTGGTTATATTAGAAGCTTCTTGGGTAAATGTGAACTTATTAGACCAGAGACTCCATTAATGATACCACTTCTCTGTAGCGTTAGAAGAAATACTTAAACGTAATGTCTACCTTAAAAGTAGAATTTAGAAAACTAAATATAATACTTCATAAAATTTTTTGTTTTGCTACATAAAATCTTAACTAATAGATACCTATTTTGGCTGCTAGTAATATATTTTCAAACATTACATATCACAGTTTCCTGAGAAAATAGAAGTTGTGTATAGTTATATCTGTAAATGAAGTTTACTGTGAAGGCAGCCCCAACATATTTTTCATGAACTGGCTAGATATACACAGAGGATGAACGTCTGTAAGTAGTAAACGGTGATGATTCAACTTGCGGTTTATAGAATCCTGACTGTCTATTATTCTGTTTAATTCCCTTGAGATAGGGTCTCTCACTGAACCTGGAGCTATACTGTCACCCAGCAAGGCCCAGCAATCCTGTCTCTGTCCTCTACAGTGCTGGGGTTATAGGTATGCATATAGCCATATCCAGCATTGTTTTTTTTTAAATGGGTACTGAATTGAGCTCAGGTCCTCATGCTTATGCAGCAAATGTTCTTGCCCACTGAGCATCTCCCAACCCCAGCTGAGACTCTCTGTTCTAGAAAATATATTTGCTCCAAGGCATAGATTTCCCCAGAACAATATACATTTGATTCACTTAACTTAATTTCTGGAAATAATGTGATATGTGGGTTTTCTTTTAGCATTTAAAAATAAAAATAAGCTGGGTGTGGTGAAACACACCTGTAGTCCCAGCACTCAGGAGGCAGAGGCAAGCGGATCTCTGTGAGTTCAAGGCCAGCCTGGTCTACATAGTAAGTTCCAGGTCAGCTGGGACTACAGGGAGAATAAAAAGTATTATTTGGGTAATTTATTTTGTAACATGTTAAAAATATTGGAAGATCATTTATAGACTTTAAAGAAGTATTTTCAAGGTAAAACAACGTCTCTTTCTTTTCTCTCCTAGCATTGTCATGGAAGTACTGCGAATACTGCTTCTGGTTGGACAGATTCTTTTTTCTCTAGCTGCTGTTTTTCTTTTGTGTCTTATTATCAAGACATATCTCATAGGACCATATTACCGAAAGCTGCATATGGAAAGCAAAGGGAACAAAGAAATCCTTATCCTAGGAGTATCGGCTTTCATCTTTTTAATGTTGACGGTAATTCTCAAGTATCTACATTATTTATGTGGCCCTGTTCACCCTCGCTCTCACTGAAGCTTATGATCAGTTCTCTACCTTTTCACTATAGTAATGGCTAAACTATTTGAAACGAAAGTATTTTTTATTTTTTGGTTTTTTTTTTTTGAGACAGGGTCTCTCTGTATCCCCAGCTGGCCTAGAACTCACGATGTAGACCAGGCTGGTCTTTGAACTCACAGAGATCCACCTGCCTCTGCCTTCAGTGCTGGGAATAAAGGAGTGGGCTATCATGCCCAGCAAGTATTTTTTACTTTATACACAGTTTATCACACCACAGCTAAAGCTGTTCAGTTATTATACTAATATTCCTAAACACTTTGCAAAAATATGATTCGTGAGTGTTGTAATTTAAGAACAAATATATAGTCATGAAAATCCACATAAACACATTACTGTCTCATTTCACACAGCTTTGCATTTGAAATAGTGGATCAAGTTTAAAGCCTTTTTTCATCTGTTGGGTAATGACCAACTAATTAACAGTATGACTTCTGTTGCCATAATGGGAAAGACTTTTTTTTTTTAATTTCTTTTTTTTTATGTGTACGAGTATATTCCCTGCAAGTATGTGAGTACACCCATGTCGTGCACTGCTGCGGAGGTCAGAAGAGGGCGTTGGATTCCCCTGGAACTGGAGCCAAAGATGGTTTGTAGCTGCCATGTGGGTGCTGGGAATCGAACCTGGGTCCTCTGCAAGAGCAGTCGGTGCTCTTAACCACTGAGCCATCTCTCCACTCCAGGAAGGCTTTTTAAAAGATTCATGTTGGGAGGCTGGAGAGATGGCTCAATGGTTAAGAGCACTGGCTGCTCTTGCAGAGGACCTGGGTTCAATTTCCAGGACCTACATGGTGGCTAACAACCGTCTCTAACTCCAGTTCCAGGGGAATCCAATGCCCTCTTTTGACTCTACAGGCATTGCACAGCACGGGTGCACTGACATACATGAAGGCAATACAGTCATACATATAAAATAAAAATAATACATTTTTTTGTCTTTTTTTTTTTTTTTTTCCTGTCCTGGAATTCACTATGTAGACCAGGCTGGTCTCGAATTCACAGAGATCCACCTGCCTCTGTCTCCCAAGTGCTGGGATTAAAGGTGTGTACCACCACGCCTGGCTATGAAATAATTTTTTTTAAATACTTTATTTTATTTTATGTGTATGAGTGTATTGCCTGCGTGTATGTGAGTGTACCTGTGTCGTACAGTGCTGCGGAGGTCAGAAGAGGGCTTCAGATTCCCTTCTAACTGAGTTAAGGACAGTTTGTAGCGCCATGTGGGTGCTGGGAATCAAACCTGGGTCCTCTGCAAGAGCAGCCAGCGCGCTCAACCACTGAGCCATCTGTCCAGACCCTTAAATAAATTTTTTTTTTTAAAAAGGTTCATGTTGGAAAGTAGGCCTCTCATGAGAGAGTAGGGGAAAGGCCCGAGACACCTGTTAATGGTCTAAATAATAACAGCATAACCATATACTTTGTGCAATTCAGCAACTGTGGAACTTAACATTTATCTCAGAAAAGGGGATAAATATTGAAACTCATACATGAATTTTTTATAACATTTGAATTATATTAGCTGAAATCAGTCCAAATGTCTTCAGGATGAATGGTAAAGACACTATGGTTACTGGGGCTGAGGAGATGACTCAGTTGGTAAAGTGTTTTCCTCTCAAGCATTGGGACCTGAGTTTGTGTTCCCAGCACCCACATAAAAAGCCAAGTACAGTGGAAAATGCCTGTAATCCCTGTGCCTAGGGCTCTGGGGAGGCAGAACAGGGGCATCTCTGGGGCTTGCTTACCATTCAATCTAGCTGAACTGGCAAGTTCAGTAAGAGAGCCTATTTCAAAAACAAAGCAAAACAAAAACCACCACCACCAAAAAAGATGGTAGATACTGATTGAGGAAGGCACCTGATGTTGGCCTCTAGCCTCCATGTGTGTACACGTACATTCATTAACATGTATACACATACACACAAAGTATAAAGAAACCATGATATATTCATACCAGTTAATGCTGCCCTATAATGAAACTGCTGGTTCACACAAAAATCTGTGTGCATCTCTAGAGTCATGCAGCAAAAAAACTGTCCCCCAAAACTGCATATTGCCTAGTTAATCCATTTGTATAGTACTTGTGAAATAGCAGTTTCAGAAATTGAGGAAATGAATGAGTGCCAGGAGTTAGGGAAGTCTGGCAGGTGATCTGGCTGAGCTACTGAGTTAGGATGCTACACTGGGAAACTTAAGTGTTCTTAAAACTGTGTCTATCTTGAGATTAAAGGTTTCAATTTTTTAAAAAAGTAAATTAACAAACTATTTCTTTATTATGGTATTTTGTAACCTTGAGGAAGCATAAGATTTGCTTCTGCTCATGAACTATTTCAAGAATGCTGTTTATTTAAGCATTTGCCCTCTCTTGCCCAGTCTAGAGTATTTTCTTAAAGGCAACTTCTAGCAAAGCTCTCTTATCTGGGTGGGGTTCAACTTACCTTCCCTAAAGGTATATGAGCTAGAGTGACTCTTCATTGGTGCTTGATTTTTCCCTCTGTTCATTTGACACTATTTGTTGGATACCTGCTGTCACATGCCAGGTATGGCAAGAGATGCGGGCCTTTGTACATCAGATGTTCTTACAGTTCATATCTGTTTCCAGTTAGAGGTGATATGACAGAGCTGCTGTTCATCTTCTCCCATGGTTTTGCAACTGGGTTTTATTTCTAAGGAGGTGGATTTTCTGGGCAGTAGAGCACACATATACCCACCTTAAGCATTGCTGTTGGTTTGTCCACAGTAGTCATCCTGATCTGTGCCATCAACATTGGTGGGAACACAGTTGTTCTATACTCTTCCCACTCTTGGTGTTGTCTGTCTTTAATCTTGACCCTTCTGTTGATGGCCATGGCACCCCACTGGGGTTGTGACTCCCATTTTCCTTGGGCTGCTAGAGTTGAATGTCTTTTTTAAGTGAAAAAGTCACCAGGGATCTGTTCTGATGTGTGCCTGTTGAGGGAGCAGACTGTTTCTCTATGGATTGGTAGTTTTCTTGTTCATTTATAGTATTTTTTTTTTCTTCTTTTTTTGGTCTTTTTGAAACAGGGTCTCCCTGTAATCCCAGCTGACCTGGAACTTACTATGTAGGCCAGGCTGGCCTTGAACTCACAGAGATCTGCCTGTCTCTGCCTCCCAAGTGCTGGGATTAAAGGCATGTGCCATCACATTGGCAGGATTTATGTATGTGTGTTTTGTGTTTATCCTGTGTTCATATATATGTATATACATATATATATGAACATATGTATATGTGTGTGTGCATTTTTTGTATGCTTTTAAACTGAGAAGAAATTTATTTTACCTAAGAGTCACTGTTTTAACTGTTTCGAAGTATGTTATTTGGTAGTTTTCAGCATGCTCACAATGCTGTGCCACTATCACTACTGTTCAATCATAGACCATTCTATCACTCTCCTCTCTTCACCTACTGGTCTCTTTTATGCTCCTGTGGGTTTGCTGCTTCTGGTTTCATGTAAATGAGATCAGGTACCATGTGGTAATTAGTGTCTGGCTTCTAACCTGATTGTGTTCAGGACCACATATAAGTGTGCCAGCAACACTCAGTTCACATGGCTGCATAGTGTTCTTTTTGTTTGTTTGTTGTTTTTGAGACAGGGTCTCCCTGTAGCCCCAGCTGGCGTGGAACTCACTACGTAGACCAGGCTGGCCTTGAATTCACAGAGATCTGCCCATCTCTGCCTCAAGTGCTGGGATTAAAGGTATACGCCACCACACCCTGCATTGTACCTGTTCTTGCTAATGCCTTCCTGGCTGTGAACTGCCTTTCATTCTCTTAATGTCAGTTTTCTTAATTTCATTATAATTCAGTTATCAAATGCTTTCTTTATGGTTAGGATTTGTTCCATCTGTGTAGACCTCTGCTGTTCTGGGCTCATGAGAAGCTCTGTTATCCTCTGCAAGTGTCATTGCTCTAGTTTTCTTTTTTAGATCTACAGTCCACCTAGGGATGAGTTCAGTTTTGGTGTAAGGTGATAGCTAAGGGTTCACTTCTTGTATGCACCTCTAAATGTCACAAAACAGACCTTGGCCATTGCTCTGTAGTATAACCTTGTCAGAATCCAAGTAGCTGTGTTGTATGCTTGCATGTATATACATTTGAGTTCATTCTTATACCTATGTATGATATGCTTGTACATGTGTGCGCTTGTAAATGCATGTGGATAGTATATGAATATGTTTATGTGTGTATATCTGCTAGTGCATGTGTATATGGTAAGCTGATGTGTGTGCATGTGTGATTGTGTAGGTGTAGGTGTCTATGCATGGGTGTTTCTGGTTCTCTGCTCTGCTTCCTGATCTGATCACCTGCTCTCACAGCCTCGTAGCATGCCATCCAGTAGCATTCTGGCCCCAATTTAGTTCTGTGTCAGAATTGTCATGGTTGTATTTGTGTTTTCTCCAGTTTCCTCTTAAGTTTTCAGATTCACCTTGTTACTTTTTATGCCTACACTGGTCTCATCAGCATTCCCCAGTCTGTTGATCACTTGAGGGTGTATTGACACCTCCCTGCTGCAGGGCATCCTTACTGTTTCTTGGGCTTCCTGGTGCCTCAGTGGCATGAATACCCTGGATACAGGGTTCCTGCCTTTGTAGCATCTATATCTTGATGTTTGATGCTGCTTTTTTTTAATGTCATCGCAAGTAGTAATTCTTTAAAATTTTGTTTTTCATTTGTCCGTTGCAGCTGTTTACCGTAGTTTTAAAACATCTTCACATTTGTTTTGTCTGTGATGCCCCAGAAGCCAGTCTTGAGCTCTGTGCTTAAAAGAACAAGAGTTAAAGGACTGGCTTGTCATGACCAGCATTCTCTCTGGCCTGGCTCACTGTATGCGTTACTCATCCTCTCTGGATTTGTGGAAGCTTTTCTCTAGTATCCTGTCAGTGGAGTTGCTCACTGGTGGTATCTGCCTTCTCTATGAAGTTTGAGGTTGATAAGAGGAATAGTTTCAGTGACATAGTCTGTTTCTTCCCTGATGTAAAAAAAAATGAATTACAAATATTCAAAATAAACTTTGGAAAATATCCTCATTCAAAAATACCACAGTGGCCTACATGAGTGACTGTTTGAAATATTTTTTTTCTCTCTGAGTATGATTAATTCAGCCAATGTTAGCCTCTGCATGTGGTCTCTTGGGCCACTCATAGACCCCAGCTGGGGCCTCACACAGGAGCCTGTGTCTCAGTGGTAGTGCCTGGGTGCTAGCCATTTCTGCTGTGCACCATGGTGCTTCTGCTGAGTTGAGGGGTGTCTGGCTATGAACATCGTCTGATGGTAGGTGTGAGACTCGGCAGTAGTTCCCATGTGAAGCTGGTCCCCCTCATTCTCAGGTCACAGAGCTGTTGGATGTCTCTATGGAGCTGGGCTGCTTCCTGGCTGGAGCATTGGTCTCTTCCCAAGGGCACGTGGTCACCGAGGAGATCACTGCTTATGTCGAGCCAATCCGTGACTTTCTGGCCATCATCTTCTTCGCATCCATAGGTACCCCCCTTTGTGTTCTAATTCCATTTGTTAAGCATGTGCAGATTAGTCTGTTATGTTTGTGTATAAATATGCTTTTCTAGAGCCTGAGGAGAAATCTTACTTAAAAAAGAGGGGAAATGAGCAGAAAAGTACAAGAATTAGCTGATTGATTGCTTGTCATGTTTCAGTGCAACGGTGAGCAGACAGGTAAAGATAACCTTCAGGGAAACAAAGCTTTCATTTTCAGGTCCCAGTGCTGGGGGTCCTGGAAATGCCCTGCAGACTGTGGGAACTCAGTGGATTCCGATCTTGGAAACTGAAGCAGTTGGAGGAAAGATGTCCTACTGTGCCCTGGCCTCCCTGCACTCTTTGCTTTATTGTTTGGATGTTCATATACTTTGCTGTGGCCTGCAGATTAAATGTAATCCCTGGAAGATATGGAAACTGCAAACTGGTCCGGAAATTTACATGGAAATACAAAGAGCTATACATAGCCATGTGAATCTTGACAGAAAGGCCCACAGTGGGGTGGTCCCTCACCTTATTAGGGGTGAAATTAAACTGTTTCACCAGTTGGTTTGGTACTCTGGGTAGAGCTTAGTGCACGAGGCATCAGTCAGGTGCAGGATGACCCACATAGAACAAGAATGTGGCTGGCTTATCCCTGGTCTCCATGACCCATATTCTTCCTGTGTTTGGTACTCCAACTTCACACTGTGACACCCACTGAACATGCTGACAACCTGCTGGTTCTGACTTCCCGGCCTTCTGTTCCCACTTCATAATCCCCTTTCATTTAGGCAGGCTCTAATAAAGTTGATGAGGTTCTCCCTAACCTACTTCCACATTCTTCCAGGTCACCTAGCTAATTTGTGCTCCTTCCTCCCTCTCCTGTCATCAGGGGTCATTTGAATATCCATGTTTCAGAGTGGTTCTTGTTTGTTTTAAAGATTTATTTATTTTAATGTTCATGAACATTTTGCCTACATATATGTAAGTGTACCACATGCATGCAGTGTCTGCAGAGGTCAGAAGAGGGCATCAGATCCCCTGGACCTGGAGTTGCAGGTGGTTGTTAGCTGCTCTGTGGGTGCTGGGAACCAAACTCAGGTCCTCTGCAAGAGCAACCAGTGCTTTTATTCACTGAGCCATCTCTTCAGTCCCAAGATTTATTTTTAATTTTGTCTATGTATGTATATATATATCTGTCTGTGAGGATGTGCACATGAGAACAGGTGCTATGGAGGCCAGGGACATCAGATCCCCCTGAAGTTGGAGTTATAGACAGTTGTGAGCCACCAGTGTGGGTGCTAGGAACCAAACTCAGATCCTCTGCAAGAGCAATACATGTTCTTAACCACTGAGCCATCTCTCCCTCCCCAGAGTGGCTCATGTTAAACCCAGAGTTCTGCCAGTATGTTATTTGAACAGAATACTTGCTTCATCACCTTTAAATTAGAATTCTCATTATGCAGAGAACCCTGGTTTCAGTCAGTATAACAACTCCATGTGCATATGCTTTGGTTCTTCATGCTAAGTACATCAAAGGAAATTCTACTTCTATTCACCAGGACATCTTTTTGCTCAGGGATCTGATCACATAAATGGCATCCACTCAACACAGAAGACATCTCAACCTGAGTTGAGTGAGTTCCAAGCATACCTACAGCCACTCTTTAGCAAGTCCAAGGACAGCACTAGTCAGCAACAGCCACAGGAACCGTTTGTTGGCAAGTGGGCTCTTTAAAAGAGATTGTACTTAAAGGGCATGAGGAACAAGGAGTGGTTTTTGGCACACAGTGAAAAACTTTCTGTGTTAAAGGAAAGTACAGGATGATGGGGAGAATAAGGGGTTTCCATGGTGAGGATACAGAGTTCATGACCTGGGGTCATGTGGGTAGCAACCATAGTGCAAATGTAATACCAGATTTTGTAGCCCATTTTCTTCCCAGTGACCAGGGTTGGCCCACATCCCAATCCAATATGTCATTTGTTTGGGTTTTTTAAAATTTATTATTTTTATTTTATGTGTGTGAGTGTTTTGCCTATGTGCATATAAGTGAATCCGTGTCGCGCAATGCCCACAGAGGCCAGAAGAGGGTTTTGGATCCCCTGGAACTGGAGTTATGGATGGTTAGCTGCCATATGGGTGCTGGGATTTGAACCAGGATCCTCTGCAAAAGTAGCCAGTGTTCTTATCCACTGAGCCATCTCTCCAGCCCCTGTCATCTATTTTGTTTTTGTTTTTGTTTTTTGGGGGGCGTATTTTTGAGACAGGATCTCCCTATAGCTCCAGCTGTCCTGGAATTCACTCTGTAGACCAGGCTGGCCTTAAACTCACAGAGATCCGCCTGCCTCTGCCTCCCGAGTGCTGGGATTAAAGGCATGCACCACCACGCCCGGCACCTATCATCTGTTTTACAAATTAAGTTTTACTAGGACACAGTCACACTCATTCATTTACATTTTATCAGTTGCTGCTTCTGTGCTTCTATTAGCTTGGGATGTTACTAAAATATACCCCAAACCAGGCATCTTAAACAGTAGGTACGGTAGGTATCTCTCACTCCAAAGTTTGTTTATCAGTAAATGTTCACAGACCCTTACCTTACCAGGTGCAGTCCCATCAGGTGGAACTTACTCCTACCTGTTGCCCCTTGTTACCTGGTTTAGATCCTGACTCCAGATAGTCCCCTGTGAAGAGGGTTTCAACCTGAGTTTGTCCATAGCAGGCTACAGTGGCAGAACTAGATCAGGGTCCTTATGGCACTATCTATGCCTCTAGAGAGGAGAGGCTGCTGACTGGCACTGCCTACCATCCTCATCTGGTTCATTGAGCAAGGTTCAGTTTTGAGGTATTCATCTCTACTGGGCAATAAGAAGATTCTAGAAGCAGACCCTGCAGGGCCTGGGGTAGGTCTTAGAAGTTGATTGTCACATACCTGATGGGCCCTGGCTTTGGGAGTATCTTATAGACCTCATTCAGCTGGTCATTGGTCATCTGTGGCCTGTACTGACCATGAGGCTGACCATTTGCTTTACTTGGCAAATATTATCTACCCACCTCCCAAATCTGTGTTTACAGATAAGGAAACAGACACTTGGAGGCCAAGAGACTGGCCAGTATCTACATCAGCCAGTGACTGAGCCTGTACAGTCTACCTTACATTGTATCAAGAATGAGACATTCACCATGAGAGTAACCATCAACTGGACAGCAGGCAGTTCATTTGCCTTCCTGTCACTGTGGCAAAGGTCTTGAAATGCAGATTTCCTGTCTTTTGTTGGCGTTCTCAGCATTGACTTTGGTGGATTTGATTTCCCAGATGTTTGTTCACATTCATCTGGGCAAGGAAATGCCATCTGCAGAACAGGAAGGCTCTGGGTAGGCTCTGGTATCTCAAAGGAGTTCTCAGCTGGCAGAGCAGGTACAGGAACTCCCTTTGTAGATGAGCTAAGCAAATAAGATCGTGCCAGGAGAGTCATCATGACCCAGCTAGAAATGGGAAAAGCCAGACCAGTGCCCAGCATAGGGTGTCATGAGGGAGGGATGTGGGTCACTTAGCAGTTATCCACAGCTTTGGAAAAGAGAACTCTGCCTGGGTGGGCTGCAGGCAGGAATCCAGGAAGACAGAGAGCCCAGGTGCTCCAATGTGCAGGTTGCTCCTGTCCCACATGGGCTCTACCTGGGGAATCTCTGCCAGCCCTGATTATTATGGGACAGGATAACTATCACCATATACCACATACTCTCATGAACTCAGCTATACCTGTAGGATGGGATATGACACCCAAACATCCAAACTCTGATATTACCAAGGAAATCTGCAGGGGCTGGAGGTACAAGTCTTGGAGGGATGTCCAGGACTGATCAGCTTATAGAACTCATAATCAGCTGGCCAATGAGGAGACTCCAGGGGCCCATCACAGGACTTAGGGGGCATGAACAATGTTTAGGGGATGTGGCTAGGGGAGGTGGTAGGTCCATGGATCATTTGGAGTAGCAGTCCGATTTATGGGTACAAACTCTAAGAATGGACCATAGAAGAGCAGCTACAGCCGATGGGGCTGGGGGAGGGAGAGAGAGCTCAAAAGGGTCTAGACATACAGCCTGAGAGGCAGGAGGGCCAGGTAGGCATACACCACAGAGTCCCAAACCACATGGGGAGGCATATCTATTCTCAGGAAAGAGGAAATTATCTATGAAGGAAAGAGGACATTATTTTGTGTTTGTGAATAAAACAGAAAGAGGCTGAGTAGTCTATTGAGTGTAGTTTTTTTTTTTTTTTTTTTTTTTTTTTTTTTTTTTTTTTTTTTTTTAAAAAACAAAAAAAAAAAAAAAGGCTGGGGAGTTTTTTTGGTTTTTTTTTTTTTTTAAAAAACAAAAAAAAAAAAAAAGGCTGGGGAGTTTTTTTGGTTTTTTTTTTTTTTTATTTTTTTTTTTTTTTGCTTTGTTTTGTTTTTGTTTTTTTGAGACAGAGTCTTACCAGGTCTGGAACTTGCTATGTAGACCACAGTGGCCTCATAGAGGTCTGCCTGCCTCTGTCTCCTGAGTGTTGGAATTAAAAGTGTGCGCCACCACTCCTGGCTGCTGAATGGTCTTGACTCCAGGGCCAAGGCCTTCTGATAGAGAGGGCCTCAGGTACTGGAAGATGATGAGGCTTTGAGTGGGCGGAGACTCATCCACCTGCATGCAGCTGCCTATCCTTCTGCCTCTGCGCCTCTTTGGAGGAGTATGGAAACAGATATCTAGGGAAGGTCTTCCCTGTGGCTTCTCTATTTTGTGAGCCAAGTGAGAAATGATAAGGACTGAGTGTAGATTGGGACAGTTCCTGTTTTGAGGTATCTTGTTCCTGTCTCCCACAGGACTTCATGTGTTCCCCACCTTTGTGATATACGAGCTGACTGTGCTGGTATTCCTCACCCTGTCCGTGGTGATCATGAAGGTATGAGGCATTCTCTTAGCACTCACAACTGATGACATCCACACTGCTCTGTTACACATTTGCACAGCAGAGCATTTCCTGATGGGCCTCATTTCCAGCCAGCTGCTGCATAAAGCCCCATCAACACTCATGTCTCCAAGCATGACTGTGGAGCAGTCCTCCCTGACCCACAGTGCCCTTAGCAAACCTAGGAGGCAGGTCTGGACCAGGGGTTTGGATGGCGGGATGTTCTGTTTTATTCAGAATTGAGATATTTTAAGTTGAGTGTTCCTAGGATCTGACTTTTGAGCATCTTTCTGGATATGTGGGCTTATTCTAGATGGGTCTAAGGAATAGCCAGTGCTTTGTACTGATGGAAGTGTATGTCAACATGCAAGAAATCCAGCAAGCACTTCTCAGTGTCCATCCTCATGACCACTAATGACTGTGTTGCTGCTGAATTTATAGTACAGCTGCCTCTTCAGCTAATGAGGTGCCTGTCAGTTCTGGGCTGTTCTCACCTGAAGAACATCTCATGTACAGAAAGAATTTCGACCTTGAACACTTACTATTTAATACTGTTGATTTGATTTGCTGGGAGAAGGCTTGTTTTCTGCCAACCAACCCAAACCTTTTATTTTGCCACTTTCTATTTAGATTTAAGATAGTTTGCATTTATTTGGTGCCTTCTGGGTATCTGACATGCCACTGTGTGTACTCTCCTACTTAATTTGTGACTAGAAACAATGTCAGCCATTGATGTTTTCCATCTCGGTTCTGTTTTATGTGGGTGATTTTGTCTGGCTTTTGGTCTTGAACAGTGATGTGATAAACAGCTCTTTCAGTTTGTATTGGCAGTGCTGGTCTTGTCTCTCATCCTGCCAAGGAGCAGCCAGTACATCAAGTGGATCGTCTCTGCAGGACTGGCACAAGTTAGCGAGTTCTCCTTTGTCCTAGGAAGTCGAGCACGGAGAGCAGGCATCATCTCTCGTGAGGTGAGTGTCCAGCAGGTGGTGAATGTCCATCATCTGACAGACGTGGCGGTCCTGTGGAGCACATTGAATGCTTCAGTGCAAGCATTTCTAGGAAAGAGTGGATACTCCTAACTCCTGCGGGGCCTGACTCAGTGGTCCAGGTACACCAAGCCCCAGAAGCAGCAGCATGTACCTTGTGGGCACTGAGCTGGGCTGGGAGGAAGCTTTTGGTGGGATCATGGAAAGTGGACTTGGCTGTTCCCTTCTCATACAAGATGTGGAAATTTTCAGGTGAAAGTTACTAGTTAATGCTGCCATTACATTTTATACTTGATCTTAGCCAAAAGGCTAAGAAGTGATGCCATTATTGTTCTACAATAATTATAATTAAGAGACTGACAGTTTCTGAGAAGTAAACCCACTTTTTAAAGCTGGGGTGCTACCTTGCACATTAACAACATCCAAAAAGCCTGCAATGTATGGCTGTTTCCCAAAGCTCCCACTGAAGCACAGGGAAGCTTGTGGGGCCTTCGCAGTTCAAAAGCTGTCCTTGTGTAAGGAGTGTGAGGAAGTTGCATTGGGAAGGTGAAAGTACAGTGTAGACCTTGCTGGAGAATAACAGGCATCACTGAACCTGCAGAGCTGCATCATGGGATAAGAAAGAATCCTGTTGGGGCTGGAGAGGTGGCTCAGCAGTTAAGAGCACTGACTGCTCTTGCAGAGGACCCAGGTTTGATTCCTAGCACCCACATGGCAGCTACGAACCGTCCTTAACTCCAGTTCCAGGGGAATCCAAACCATCTTCTGACCTCCGTGGCAGTGCACTCCCACAACGCAGCTACGAACCGTCCTTAACTCCAGTTCCAGGGGAATCCAAACCATCTTCTGACCTCCGTGGCAGTGCACGACATGGGTGCGCTCACATACATGCAGGCAATACACTCATACACAATAAAAAAAAATAATAAATAAAATTAAAAAATAAAAGAAAAAGAATCCTGTTTTGGTCACTCACTCTGGCTTATAAGCAGACATGTAGGGATCATTTTCAGACTAGTGGAGAATCCAGGCTGATACCTTGGAATTTATCAGAACTGACCAAAGTTTTCTGTTAGTAGTCAAATCTCAGTTCTTCCCTCTCCAAATGTCCTCTCCCCGTGGCTCTATTTTGGCCTTAAAGGATGGCTAAGCTTCAGGCTCGCAGTGTACCTTCTGACACTCAGTGAGCCACTCAGTATGTGCTGTGCTCCTGACACTGAGATCACACTCAGCATGTGCTGTGTAGTTGTAAGATTCCTGGGAGATGTGAACAAACATTTACTCTCCCCAGATAGGGAACCAATGACAGACCAAAGTAAGGGTCAAAGTTCAAATTGGTGAACCCAGTGAGCTTTATTAGGGTTACTTACAGGAGGAGAAGTGACTCAAAGACAGCTGTGTCACCAAAGCCCACCCCAGCATAGATGACCACTCAGGAAAGCAGGAAAGCTGGAGCTCACTGCACAGCCTGCAAGCAGTTCAACAGGTTGGAGAGTGTCCTTTCCAGGCAGCTCAGCTGATCTGAGCCTTGTCAGGGTAGCTCCACTGATGTCTGTCTGCTTCTTCAGGTAGCTCTGCTGGTCTCTGCTTCTTCCAAGGGCTCAGTTTGTCTGAGAGCTCTCAGCATTCCTTAGGGCTTATATATACTTGGGAAGGGAGAGGCCTAGTGAGCTTCCTCAATTTCATGGACTTTCTGAAGCTATTGAGTTGTTTACTTCCTGAGGTCAATGAGCTTCTGTGCAGGATGGACTATTTTGCCTCCCTTCAAAACATCTTGTTGTTGGGACTGGAGAGATGGCTGAAAAGTTAAAGAGTATGGCTGCTCTTGCAGAGGCCTTGGGTTCAGTTCCCAGCACTGACATGGTGGCTCATAACCATCAGTAACTCCAATTCCAGGGAATCCAATGCCCTCTTCTAACCTCCATGGGCATTGCAGACATGGGTGTACTTACATACATGCATACAAGCCACTCATACACATAAAGATGTCACTGATTTGATTCAATAGACCTTCATATAGATGGCAGAATGTATGAAAGCCAGTGGGGGAGCTATAAGAGGGTGCCAATGGGAAAGAGGGTATAAAGATGATTAAGATATTATGTATAAAATACACAAAAATTCAATAAAAAATATACCAATAAGTAAAATTACCAAAAAGTCCTGTTATTTACCGCCATTTAGATAACCCTGTTGTTTACCTTTCTTTAGAACAACTTGTTGTTTACCTTCCTTTAGAATGTTGTTTATCCAACTTCTCTCCAAGGTGGAAGTTTTATCTTGGAGGAAATTGCTATACAACAGCAGTATCTTCCTGATGCACAGTGAGACCGTGCTCAGCATGTGCTGTACAGTGAGACCACAGTACTTCCTTATGTTCAAGGGAGATGGTGCTTTGAATTACACCTTCTGATGCTCTTGTGACTCTTCTCTCCATTCACCTCTTGCAGGTGTACCTCCTTATACTAAGTGTGACTACACTCAGCCTCTTACTTGCCCCCGTGTTATGGAGAGCAGCAATTACAAAGTGTGTGCCAAGACCAGAGCGGAGATCTAGTCTCTGACAGCAGCGGATGTTAACTGATTGTGGCATTGGGACCCTACGTGGGACTGTGAGACCTGAAACTATCTGTTGTTGCACCTTCCTGCTAGCCTCTCATTGGCGACAGAGGACCACTAACAGAGGCAGTGCCCTCGTGTTTGCCTGCTTTTTAAAAACTCTCCTGTTGTGTTTAAGAATTTTTCAGAGTAATTTATTTGCAGTCAATTGATTATGTACAGAATTATAGCACTGCATTTTATAAATCGCCTTGACTATTTTGCCTGAATGTGCCTTTTTTTCTTAAAATTATTAACTTCCTATTGTTAATTCATCAGCTCATGACTTTTTGGTAAAGAACAAAAGTTAGGAAGTTTTTTTTTTAATTTATTGTACAACTTTAGAATTACAATCAGTTGGTCAACTATTTGTTATTAAATATCTGCAATATGAGAATTTAATTCTATTCTTGAGTTTGGCAACTTACTTTTGAGCCTTAAAGTCTATGTTTTTTAGATGAGAAAAATATCTTAGATGTCTACTTGCCTGTTACAACTATTTTAAATAAAAGTTTCGTGTTGATTTTTATTAGTTTTATCACTCTTAAAATATTTGATTTTGAATCACAAGAATATATTCCTTTTTAAAAATATTTTATTTATTATTTTATGTGTATGCATGTATTGCCTGCATGTAGATAAGTGCACCCATGTCGTGCAATGCCCTCAGAGGACAGAAGAGGCTGTTGGATCCTCTGGAACTGGAGTTATGGACAGTTGTTAGCTGCCATGTGGGTGCTGGAATTGGAACCCGGGTCTTCTGCAAGAACAACCAGTGTTCTTAACTGCTGAGCCATCTCTCCAGCCCCGCAAGAATATATATATATATTTATGTTTAGGGCTTTTATTCTCGTATTTTAAGCAGCTCAGGCTCCTTTCTGTTAGTTCTCACAAAGTGTGCTTCTCTGGGTGGGGCGGGCTGGTGTTTCAAATGAACCCAGGTCCCTTTCTCTTTGGCTTCCTTTTTTGTTCTGGTCATTTTCCTTCACGCACGTCAGGAAGCTGTCTTGGCTCTTAGAGTGCTTAATATGCTCAATGTGCACATTAATTCTCTTGGCAAGAATCTTGCCCTTAACTTGCTTGTTTCCAGCAATGCCAACAGCATGCTGAATGACGTTGTAGACTCTCCCAGTTTTGCCATGGTAGCATTTGTGGGGCAGTCCTTTTTGAACAGTACCCATTCCATTAATGTCTAATCTCACCCTTCTTGTAGATTCACATGTATGTGGCCAAAGGAACAACTCCATGTTTTCTAAAAGGCCTAGAGAACATGTAGCGGGTGTCTCTCCTCTTTCCCTTTGTGTTTGTCATTTTGGTGAATCACTGGAAGATGGCTGCTCCAGCAGAAAGGAAGGGGGCGGGGCCTCGCACACTTAGAAGGCCCACGGGCTCAAGAATATTTATTCTTAAATAAAGACCATTTATGATCAGGACATAATTATCTTAAACTTACTGAGAATCTTTACTTTTTTTGAGACAGGGTCTCCCTGTAGCCCCAGCTGGCCTGGACCTTGACCAGCTGGCCTCTATCTCACAAGAGATCCACTTGCCTTTGCCTCTGCTGGGATTAAAGGCATGCCACCATGACGAGCTGAGAATCTCATTTTTAAGATATATTTTGTGTGAGCCAATAATCATTGTGCAAAATCTAGCCAGTGTTTTTTGCCAAGATTATTCATATGCCATCACATAATTGTCAAAGACCAAATTAACATGTTTTAAAAATGTTTAACATCTAACTTTAGTATTTAAACAGTATATTTTGATTATCAGGTGCCCTAAAGATGAAGACCTGACCCTTGCCAGGCCTTCTCTAAGGGACATGATGAGTCTCTGTGCTGCTAAGGCTTGTTGCTGGATCATCTGTCAGGAACTGAAGTTTACTCCTTTTAGTTCTGGATGTTGGGAAGCCCATGGTCAAGGAGAGGAGGGCTGTGTCTCTGCCATGGGGGTGGGGGTGGTACCCTATGGCTACATGCTGAGGATCACCTGATCTCAAGAGAGTGGCAGAGGGAGAGCTCCCAGGAGCCTGTTTATAGTGGCATTAGTCCATCCACGAGGCAGGTCCTCCTTGACCTAAACTCCTGCCTCTCCCCGCCAACACTGGTTCATTGGAGGTTAAGTTTCTAACACCTGAGTTTTGGGGACACAAACATTCACACATAGTAAGGCTTTTATTCTTTTTAGTTGCACATATTTCATATTTCAGTTGACAGATATTGTGTGCATGTATACTGTACCACACAGCTGGCACTTTAAACCAGTGTTTTCCTCCAAATAACTGGTCTTAAGAGCAAGGCAATTTGACCACCATACTCTGAGGCAAAGAGACAGAATATTAGGTGTGATTATGTATTGCGTATGTATATTACGGATTATAGAAATGTAAATTAAGCCATCAAAGTCAATTACAATAGATTGTGTCTGCTCTAAATGAAGAAATGATATACACATGGGTTTTTAGACAATAGTTTTGGTCTTCTAAGTGACACCAGCTTGCTGACTCCTCCATCTCTTCCCCCATGTTGGGACATGCTGAGTGAGGAAGGTATCCTTTCACAGCTGCTGGCCAGAAGTGACTTGTGTCCTGCCTGTGTCACACCCTCTCCTCTCACATTCCAGAGCCCTTAAGGGGCTTTGTGTCTACCACCTGTGGCTGCTGGGGGAGAGGACTCTAATTTTGTTGGTCTGAATAAAACCTACTGCTAGTAGGTGACATCTTTCCAATGAGAAATTAGCACCACTCTGTGAGTGATAGAGTTTCAACAGCCACTTACCCATAAGAGAACAGTTTAAGGAGACGTTAGCTGGCTTGGAACTGACGAGCTGGCCGAGTAATTCTCCCTGTGGCCCTAGAGGGTGCTACTCAAGTCCCATCAACCACCCTGCCATGCCAGGTCCGGTCTCCTGGACATTAAAGCCCCAGAGCCCTATCCTAGGCTCTGCTAGCCTTTCTCTCCCATCTTTCCATCTTCATCTATGTACTCACATGCTGAGCTAACACAACCCTCTCTTTACCTCATGATCCTCTACCCTTTTGCCTAGGACTGTCGTATCCATCCCATCACCACTGTCTGCATGTGTCCTTAGGGTGCAGTGTGGCACTAGAAAGTGAGGGGAGAGTTTGTTTGGGGCAGCCTTGCTGTGGACATAGTTACTAGTGACAGATCAGGGCATTTCCATCATCTCAAATTTTAGATTTGGCCTCTGTTAGAAAGTTAGTTCCTACTGAACCAGTATCTAAAGCCATCTTGGGGAACTGGGCTTCTGAGCCTGGACATGCAAAGATGGTGGGGGTGGCTCTGAGAGTGGCAGGGGTCCCAGAGCACCTCCTGATCCTCAGCTTCATTCTCAGACTTTCATGACCTTCCCAAGTACCTTATCTACTTGCTTTTGCTAATTTCCTTTTTTCTTTACGGTGTGAGGGATTGAACCCAGAGCCTCCTGGTGGGCTATATCACCGGTTTACAGCTGCAGCATCTTTGCTAAGATTTTGATAAAAAACAGCATTCTTAGTTGGTCAGGCCACTGTCTTTCCTTACATTTTTCCCATGTTGACCTACCTGTTGCCCAGAGGCCTCTTGTGAGCTGTGCTACATCAGACCCCTTTACTGTGACAAGTCCTTCTGGCTCTTCACAACTCCATATAGGCAGACTGGGAGAGCAACAGGTGGAAGAGAGGGTCAACTGTTTGCATTGGGCAGGGGTCCTTCAAGACAGACCAGGGAAGGCCAGCTGCTAGGAAGGGTTAGGAAGGCTCCACACCAAGCCATCTTATTGTGTCCTTTTTGCTCCTGCTTGGGGTCGGTGGACACTATTGAAGATGTCTGCAGGAGAGGGAAGAGTTTCCTGAGTGCCTGACTTGCATCCTGGAGAGCTGGGTGTGGTCCTAGCAGGCTTGTTAGTGGAGTATGCAGCTTGCACCTACAGAACCTAAGGATGAGCCTGGTGCTCTGTCATTAGTGTGGACTCAGCTTTTTTTTTTTTTTTTTTTTTTTTTTTTTTTTTTTTTTGGTCCTTTCTTGGGACAGGTTCTCCCTATAGCCACAGAAGTCCTGGAACTTGCTGTGGAGACCAGGCTGACCAGACTGGCCTAGGTCTCACAGAGATCTGCCCACCTCTGCTGGGATTAAAGGCATGTGCCATCACACCCAGCTCAACTTTTACATTTAGCTAGAATGTTTTATGACATCTAAGGAAAGCAAAGAATGCCTGGAGAGACTGACTGGGGAGGAACAGTGCCGGAGTTCAGGAACAAAGAAATCCTCCAAAAGTTTGGTCATTGGCCAAAGGGCATTGGTATTTCAGAATAAAAAGCATTTAAGGAGTTGTCTGGTATGATGCAACACTGTTCCTCTCGTTCCAGCATAGAGGCGGATGTGTTCAAAAGCTGTTGTGTCCAAAAGATGAGGTGCTGATGGCACAGAAAAGTGTCTGGGTTTCTCTAGCTCTCATCAGCCTACATCAACTTAGCCTGGTCTGCATGCTGCACACCAATCGGGAAAAGGTTGGATGGATCTGGAGTCAGGTATTTCCTCCTGTCACCCACCTTGGTGGGACTTAAGGGGCAAGGGTAATGGAGCTGGCTCACCAGCCTTCCTGAAGTTGTTTGTACAGAAGCCGAGGCTCTTGGGAGCATTTGGAGACCCTGCGCAGGTGAAGGCAAGAGAGATGTGCAGACGAAGGCCTGGGAGGAGCTGACTTCCAGGATGGAGTGGGAAGGAAAGGAGATGGCTCTGGCCACCTTCCCACTGTGTTTTGGGGTCCTGGTAATCAGGCCATGACCAATCACGGAGGACTCTGTCCCTGGAGAGAAAGGGATAACAAGTGCAGGTGCAGCTAGCACCTCCAAAGAGGGAGGCGACAACCCCTAGAACAGGGGGACCCTGGTCTGGAGGGACAAAAGCTGTGCCAGAATGTAAGATATAGTGTTCAAGGGATGTATCTTCTACCTGGTTGGATTGGGTCAGGTGCCTGTTGTCTAGAGGGCAGTGGGGATGCAGGTTTACAGAGGAAAACGTGGACTGAGGGGCGTCGATCATTCATCAAAGGGGACTCACTGTGTGATAATGTCCATGGAAAAGCAGGATGATGCGCATTAGACGTCACAGCTAAACACAGATGGCCTCTGCTCCTGAATTCCCCAATCCTTATGGGCAATGTACTTGTGTTGGGAACCAATTATTTTGTTCCAAAACTGTACTTGAAAGATAGATTTTAGGCAAATACTGTAGAGCAAGAGGTCAAAGATCTAGAAGGAAACTGGCCCAGGGCATGGTGGACAGACTAAAAGTGTCTGTAGCTCTGGCTGAATTTCAGCTGGTGCTCACGAGCGTCATGAAGAACCAGACTTCCTCCATTCCTGTGTTATTGTCAGTTTCACCTTTGTTGTAACTATTGGTCTGTTTGACCCCAAAAGTACATGGAACAGCACCTTGGGAACTAAACTTTAAGGTTAAATGAAGGCCAATTACATCCATTTTTGGAAGATTTCCGAACAGGTACCTTTAGTGTAGTGTTTAGTTTTGATTT